TACAATTTTACCTTATTTTGAATTCATAATTAAGTAATAATTAAGAAATTATTTCTTAGGGAGACGTCGGACATTTGGGAGACATTTCAATGTCGCCCTAATGTCACGTCATATTTAGAGTCAATCGCATATAGCTAGGCTAGATCGAATGCTCGTGGTCCCAAAACTTAAATACATGTATACCAAAATTCGTAGGGATAGGATAAGGTAAAATTGGGGTTGGAAGTCATTAAAGTTGAAACAAAATGGCACAAGTCTATGGGAATTTCTCCCAAGTGACCCATTATCGGTTAAACTAATAATAAATTGGTAATAATACTTAAATACTTTAAATAATTTTAAAAAAGTATATATATAAATGTATAATATAAGAATGAAAATTAAACGTGATATATACGTACCTTTAAAACTTCATTAATGAGATGACAAAACTGCAGGAGAACGTTGATTAGATGAACAAAAATAAATGATATACAAAAGTGAAAAGAAGTGAAATTAAATTTTAAAAAAAAATCAGGAGAAAAAAGATGGTGATCATACAAATATAAAACTAATTGAACGACTAAATTACTTACTTAATTAGAATAAAATGGCAAATAAATGGAATATCATCCTATCTAATAGGGGGGAATCGGCTTTGAAAGAATCAGAGCACTCTAAAAAAAAAAAACAACAACAACACAGACCAAAACATCACGGTTCAACGAAATTGATATACATAATTTATGGTTCGCAAAAGGTGTGGCCTGCGCCCCGGGAACTATATTTTCCGCATGGCAGATATTTCGCGTAGACCCCCAAATCTTTGAAGTACACGTTTTATTTCAAGTTATCCTTAAAATAACCTACAAACGGAAAATTCGTCTGGAATAAAATATCAAATTTGTCGAAGAGCATTGTCAATGCACGTATCTTTACATCTGAACAAATCCGTGAATGGAAAGGCAATGAATACTAACATGGCGTACTTTTTCGTTTCCACCAACTTTCCTCATGCAGGACGAGTTGCTAATCCTCTTTGCTGACAAGCTTCAAATTCTTCCAGGTAAATTATACTGGTCAGTTTTACCTTAATATTGCTTGCTGCTGAACCCCTGGTGAGCAATTTCATTGTTGTGAAAATTAGTCCGCGAAAATTTTAAAACAGAAGCGTTGGGAAATAGGGCACAAAATCGGCCGAGTGTTCCCTATCGTGACCCACTTGAACAAATCTCAGAAATTCTCAAGTTAACATTTAGTAATTTCTTTAAATTTAACAATCTCTGATAAACCATCGTTATCTCAAATCACCTATCCAACTACATGCTTGTCAAAACATTATTTTGTATTCTTGAGGGCGCATTTTAAAAGAGTTCAAAGCGCACTTTCAAATAAAATCGGAGCATCGCGCCAAAGTACAATTTCTCTCTTTGCTTTGTAACAGGTAGATAAAATAAAAGTTTATGAATGGGAATATTAAGATCTTGTTATGATGAGATAAAACTTTTGCCCAAGCAAGGGACGAAAAATCAAAGTGCGCCACGAGGGGCCGCGCCATATCATAAGGTATTTATACACCGCTATTAAAAACACTCTTTTACCAGGCACGCATCTTTAAGGCAACTAACGTGTAATACAGTGGCAATAATAAGTCGTAAAGTTATCTGCGACTAAGAAACAATTATTTCAATGATGGACTGTAACCTTTGACCGCCATAAGCTTCCGTAGCCTGCATACCGGAAAAGACGCGCGCAGTGAGTGAGCAATGTACGGAAGCGTATGACCATCCGAGTTACTGCGTTACTGATCTTGGAAACATAGAGTTCCATCATCAAATATCTTTACAACTCGGAATGCAGTGATAGCCCATCATGAAAACGCTGAATTCCATCATGGAAACGTGGAAATCCGTGGTAGGTTATCTTGGAAACGTGGCATTCGGTGATAGGCTATCATGAATAAGTGGAATTCCGTGAAATGCTATCGTGGAAACGCGGAATATTGTAATAGCCTGTCATGAAAACGTGGAATACCGCGATAGGGTATCTCAGCAAGATGGAATTCCGTGATGTTTTATAGTGGCAAAGCGAAATGCCATGATATTGTTAGCCTATCCCAAAATTCCTTGTTTCCACGATATCTCGATCATCACGGAATTACATGCTTTCACGATAGCCTATCACGGAATTCCATGCTTTCTGTGATAAGGTATCAAAGTATTCCACGTTTCCACGATAGCCTATCACGGAATTCCACATTTCTGTGATAGACTATCACAGTGTTCAACGTTTCCACGATAGCCTTTCAGGGAATTCCATGTTTCCAAGATATTTTATCTCAGTAACGCAGTAACGCGGATGGTCATATACGTTTCCGTAGCAATGTGATGCTGCGGCGCTCCTACACTGTACGACGGATTATAGACCCCTTGCATCTGACGTCACATCTGAGGGCAGGCCTTTGTTTCCAATAACACAAAGTGTCCTCAGTGAGGGCGCCCCGTGCAAGTGGTCTATGTGTGATACAAAACACACACCACGGCAATAGCGACACAACTATTGTGAAATTAAAGTTCACCTTGAGATCATCAGATCCCAGGCCTCATTTATTTGGTATATAGTGTGACGACCTGCAGTCGTCCCTGTTTATGATGTCATTATTTATAAATAGTCTTGGCATTAAGCGCCGTAGAGAGTTCCTACTGCGCATGTATTTTTGTGCGAGTCACGCCCATTTTCCACAGGTGGAAAATGAGTGCGCCCTCTCGTGACTCGACCGTGCAGTGACCACGCTTCACGAAACTTGCAGCCAATCAGGGATAAGGGAAGGGCAGAACAATCCAATCACAAATAAGGGGGCGGATTTTAGGACAACTTATTGTAAGCTTGTTTGATTGTAAGCAAAGATCCTATAGCGCCGCTTGCGGCGCTTGATTGTAAGTGAGATATAAAGAATGTGTTGAGTTAAATAACGAGGAGAACTGGTTTCGAGCTGAAACCATACAGACGTGTCTGTGTCTCTAGTCTCTTGCTGTGTGTCGTAGGTTATTCAAATACATGCAGCGTAAGTGACTTTCTAGTCTGCACTATTAAGTAAGCAGGGAGAATGGAATCGGCACTGCACTATCGCCACGCTACCTAATGACAGACCGGTGCCGATTCCAACCTGATAAGACTACAAATACCCGCTATTGATAAACCGATCGGATGACAGCAAAGGTCCGTTTTAATATACATATAGTGGACACCATTTGCAAACAAATGTGTTTTTGTTGATTCAATGAACAATAAATCTGAAGCAGGTTATTAAAACTAACCTGTCGAAATGGCACCTGAACAGATACATTTCTGTTTTAGAAGACTGTGAAAACGCATCTTCATTTTTGTTTCGATGCATTTCCGGTAGCCATCACGAGGAATTGAAATGATGGTAATTGCTATTTTCTTAAGATAGTGTCGGACATCGATAGCATACTATATAGGCGCAATGATTTCACTGGATGCATGATCCTCTCATTTACCATCAAGACAGGTTGACAAGAATGCCACCATGGGCGTCGCCAGGTTGGGGCAAGGGGGGGGGGGCACTTGCCCCACGCGAAGTCATATTGCTGTTAATTTAACGCACATTTAACAACATGGGCGTCCGCAGGGGTGTCAATGGGGGTGGGATGGGCAAATGTCCTCCCTCCTTAATGCGCCAACCCTCGAAAAATGATAAATTATGAATATGCTAGAGAAAGTACGAGGATTTTTTTTGAAATAAAGTGCTTTGCCTCCTTCCAGAAAAAAAAAATCCCAGCGACGCCCATGAATGCCACACCCCAAAACGGTCAAAATTAGGGCGTTGAACATGGTGTAATGGACACCATAATTTTTCAAACATTCAATGAAACTGACAAAATATCATTAAAGAAAATTAACTTGATAATAGCGTACCTATGGAGCGACGCCACTTCGTTAATCAACAAAATATAGTTTCATGAACAAGCTGATACTTAAAGAACCGGAGCTTTTGACGATGGTCACAAAATCACCCTCGACGGTTCGTGCATGAAGTCCATGAGTTTAAGGTAGAAGAACATTGAGAAACACGACCGTTCGTGGGAATTGATGTTTTACGTTTTGAGCCTATTTCTTCATACTTTCTGGGCATGGGACCAACTTCTGATTAACCTTTCTTTTGATATGTGTCACGACCGTAGATTTTGGCTAACCAGTGGTTGGTGAATATGGACGGCCTTCTTTTCAAAATTATCATTTCAATTCGAGGATTTTTAATCCTAGACATTCAGTTTTAGAGGCGGGGGGCCGAAAATTCCTGGAAGCCTATTTAAGAGAAAACCGAGGGACGGAATCGGGCATGATCGAGGACTGAAATCCAATTTGAACTAGCATGTCTCCGTGGTAGTAGTGCAGGAAAGGAAGGGACTTTGCCGCCCTTCGGGAAAAAAACGATTCCAATAAAACATTCTTAGCGGGCCATGCTATATAGGGATGGGCCCAATTTTTTTTCTCGGACAGTCTCGACTCGATTACAGGCCCAACCACATTTGGTTTGGACCTAGTATACAGGAAGTTCAGCAAGCAAGTATACTTCGGGCAAGAGAAAAGGCGGGGTGGGGGGGGGGGGTGGGGGGGTGTGGTTAGAGAGACAGAAAACGCGGATGATGACCGTATGAAAACAACATACACGGACAAAAATGGTCTTCGTCCCCATGATGGTCCAACATAAAGATGGGCCTAAACTTTAGCCTCGAAGATTACCATGATCATCAATGTCACACTAACTATTTGTATCTTTGAGCCGTCTTATAATTCAAACATAGAATGTTCATTGGAAAAAAATGGTTACCAAAACATTACGCTTTTTGTGTGGAATATGCAATAAACCGACTGGTGAATTAAAACTAAAAATATTACTGAATTTTCATGAACAGATCAGGGCGCGCAATCATCAGCAACATTATTTTTGGAGGCACGGCCCCATTCTGGACTAGTAGTTGACTATAGAGGGCGCTCACTACACTGGCGGCACATGACAAGCAGCATGAGCGGTGCCGATCCCGTGAGCTGAGAAAGTTATCGTCAGTTTCCTTATGATCCCATTTTTAGTACAGCTTAAGCATGGTTTGCCTGACTGGTTTGTTAGTTTCGGTGGCAGGTTTTGTCCTGCTATTGCTCGGCAGTCTGTTTCTCTCATACACGTTGTTTTTGCACTATTTGCATGTCAAATACAGCCACATTCCAGGACCAAAGCGATCGAGGTAGGCCAAATAAAGTAACTTTGTTATGGTGGAGGGGGGAGGGGGGGGGGGGTGTTGCCCAATTTCTGTTAAAAATCTGTTATGCTGCAGTCTGACACCACTTCACTGGTTGTGTACAAAGTCTATGGAGAGTCGAGAAAATTTTCCAAGTAGCCTAGGCCTCTTTCCTAGCCCAGGACCTGACTCCCTTTCCTCCCTACATTACGGAGGGAGTCCAGGATATGAAGTGCTCAATACCGGGCGAAAAATTTTATGACCAATATTTTCAATATTTTTACCTTATTCGACCTTAATCAGGAAAATAAACTCTAAAGCAACATTAAACTTGTACGTTGTTGTAGACTATTTTCATCAGTTTCCCACTGCCGAGTCTAGTCGTACATGCATGACGTACGTCCGTGGCGTGCAGCGTGTACGCGCAGTGCGCACGCGCGATTTGCTTAGTAACCACTAGTCTGGTTCCCAGACCTTACAATTATTCCCGACGCTCAGATCTAAATGGAACCAGACTAAGTAACCACCCTCAAACGCATGCGCACTAACTTGTAAGCGCGGTCGCCTATCCAATGACTGGGCATGTTTTAGCGACCGTGACCAGAAACATGTTTCGGCTTTGGTCATTGGTGGAGTGTTTTCATGACTTCGGTTGGCTGGAGTGACGTCACTGCACGTTCCCACCAAAACCAACCAAGGAGGGCGCTAGCGTGTGCGCTTTCGTACGACGCGGTACGGTGATGAGAAACTGATGAAAAGAGTCTACAAACACGTACAAGTTTAACGTTGCTTTAGAGTTTATTTTCCTGATTAACGTCGGTCAGCATCACATATGGAATTCCTGAACCCCCGGCCAATAGATAAGGACACATAGAGTATGTAGGCGTGAAATAAGCTTCTATAACGAGGTACAACATAACAAAATTCTGGTCAAAATTTTGGGTGGTCTTAGAATTGTCATCCTGGACGTCAGTCGTAATGCAATGAAGACTTCGTCCAACCTGGGCTAGCCTATTTCCTAACAACAAAATTTGAAATGTTTCTCAGTCTTCAGTCTTCAGTAATTTACTTCCTATAGCAGCTCTCTGAGCTAAACTGGAAGGGTGACTGTGACCTCACTGTCGGTGCGGTGCAAACAAATATGGTGCTGTACATCAAAACTTAGGTGCGAGTAAAAAAAAATCATGCAGACTGGTTCTGGCCGGTGGCGACATAGCACTGATAGTGATGGTGTTTAGTGCTATGGGCTTGAAGGCACAGATTCATGTCTTAATTCTTGCAATGACTAGACCTTCAAAGAAAAAAGTGGTGTCAGGTTGCAACATTTTTTTTCTACTAGGGCCTACTAGGTTATAACCTTTATTATAGGACTGACAAATTTCCGGGGGGGGGGGGGGGGGGAGAGGGTGTACTTCCAAAGCAGTTTGACGGTAGACTTGCCTAGTAGGATATGCACCATGTTGATCACGCATTGCGAGACGCGGGTGCATTTTGGAATGACCACATGATGACTTGGAAGTGGCAAAGATTTCCATTGACGATGAGTACACAGCAACGTGTGTAAAATTGCCCTGTCGGCAAGATGGCGTATATATTACCAGGAAACACCTTGCTAGAAATATTGTGCCCCCCCCCCAGTCCCCCCCCCCCCCCCGCCCCCAATATTCTAGAAGTTGGGAGGGGGATGAGTGGCAGGGGGGGGGATTTTTTTGATGGGAGGGTGTGTGCCAACCCCTCCTCCCCCCCCCCCCCCCCCCAATCGTCATCTCCCCATGTCATTATTGGATGGATATTACAAGATTTGGAGCAGTAATACTGCAACTGTACTACTGGGACCACAAGTGATGTGACTAGACGAGGCTTATGATGCTGTGGACATTGATGAATATCAACAAAAACTTCGAAAGCTCGCAAAAGTCCTACTTTTATCCTGATGTTGTCCTCCAAATTCCTACATTTGTCCTGTTTTATATTTTTTTAAATTTCAATCCTACTGTTCGCCCACTTAACCAACGCAATATTTAATTGCCAAGAAAAAAAAACCACCCAAAACCCAAAACATCTGTCATTTTCCCCCACAGATGGCTGTGGGCGCCAGAATAAAATTTGCATTCTAGTAATCTGACTCGATTTATGGGCTGACCATTATGTATTCAGGGCCCAGGCTCCATAAATTGGGCTTAGATAATATTTAATAGACTGTCCATTTGTAGGTGGGGCAGTATGTCAGCCGATGAATACTACTCATCAGTTGCTTTGTGTTGCCATTCAGCACCCTAGACTCAAGGTCTGACAACTAAAATTAGACTGAAGGAATATGTTGTAAATGCAAATTTTTCCACGTTTTTCAATAGATGGCAATAAGGCTTAGTTACAGGGGCAGTCTGGTACATGTACCAGTTCATTGGGTATAAGAGCCCCATCTTTGGGGCTAATCAAGCCCACGGGAACGGGGGGTGCTGTGGGTGCTGCAGCACCCCCAACTATTTGGATTGGGGTGCTGGAAATTGCTTCAGCACCCCCTACTCCCGGGCAAAAATGTGTTCCAGCAGCTAAGTAGGGTGCTTCGAAAGTCTAGTACAAACACTGTAAAATATCAAGAGGAGGTATTTTCTAAATCTTCAGGCAGTGCAGGAAGGTATCTAAAATCATGACATGTCTATGATACTTCCGCCATGATGGAAGCTTTGACCCGAAAGCAATAACCTCGGCCATGACGATGGTGGCAAAGTTGAATATATGCTTGCCAGGATTTTTTCATTCAATCTTTCAGTGGGGCAAATGTTCAAACCTTTCCCCTGAAGGTTTTTCTTGTCATTTGAAAGTTTCATTGATGTTGCAGGCATTCTGTACTCAACATTTACAAATGGCAAGGTTAATTGAAACCAGTCATGCTTTACGCCAATTCCAGTGTAGTTTCGTTTTAACAGAAACAAATTACCCTCTTACCCTCTGCAAGTTTTTCTTCATAGAAACTCTGTAGACTGATAAATCATTGCCTATAGCCCCAAACTTGCTATCTACCGATCATAAACATAAAGATACATTTGGTCTTTCAGTCTTTTATATTTGCCATTCCCTATAACAAACAAATAACACTGCAAATATATTGAATGCTACATCGTTTGGTGAGTCAGAAGTATGTGAATATTTTCGAAGATACTAATTTCCTTTCCAATTTGTAATTCTTATTAATATGAAATATGATAGTGCATGTTGTCTCGATAAGATCGATAAGATTGTTTTACAGCTGTTTTATCACTCACCTGGAGTCTAAGCATAGCTGTATCAAGTTACTTGAACAGTCCCTAACAGTCAATCCTGCTTTATATACATGTAGGCTGGGAATTCTGAACTGGTGAAAACAATCAACTTGATTGATTTTGACTGAAAGAACTACTTGGCACAGAATGTTTGCATCTAGGAGGGTTAGACATTAGATGAGTAATATGAGCAAAACCCTCTTTTAAAACCTGTCTTCAGACTTTGTGACTTTTCTTTAAATTTTCAACCAGTCAGAAAGATTGGCTGGGGTTAAAATGGTTACAACTGCCCAAAAAAGTGTAATTTTTTTTCCTGGGTTATTATTAGCTGTCTACTTTTCTTTGCTAGCTTTTATTGGGGCAACTTGGCAGAAATGGCACAAGCGATTGCTGACAAGAAGTTGATAGATGACCTCTTGTTTGAGTGGTAAGTGAAGTCCTTGGATTTTAAATTGCGGATTTTTAGTTCTTGATTCCTTGCAAACCTAGCAAACCTAGAACATTTGTCCTCGGATTTATGACGATAAATCCTTGGTTAGGCCAATTAAACAATGTTGTTGCATTTCTGGTACTATGTCCAAAAAGGAATAGTTGGTAGGTAGGGTTTTATTTGTTTTTATATAAATTGAAACTTGTATTTGGTAAACCAAACTAAACAATAAAAGTACTGAAAAATGTAGCTTAGACTTGAAATGGATACGCAACAACTCTCTTAGTATGCATAAATTGCATAAATTGCATAAAGTTCAGAAAAGACGTTTTGAGCACCATGAGCACAGACCAGTTCAGTTGGGAGATTTTGGCTAAGGCCTGTCTAGACGCCGTGCCACTGTGGCGTTGAACTTAATTAAAATGAGTACAGCAACAGTTTGTCTACAGCACAGCAGTTGCTCTTAACACCAAACTTTATAGTCCCACCTTAACCCTAACCCCCTAGGTCCTTGTTGCTTACAACCATCCTCAATCCTCCAAAATCCTCCAAAATTTTTCAACTCCGCCTAAATTTTTCAAAATTGTCAGACAGTCCTGCCTCAAAATGCATTCATCCTCAATCCTCCAAAATCCTCCTCATCCCAAAACTTTGCACTCGTGTTTAAATGAAGGATAACCAACGCCAAATCCTTCAAAATCATCAGACAGTCCTGCCTCAAAATGCATTCATCCTCAATCCTCCAAAATCCTCTTGTGCTTCATTCACCATTCATCCTCAATCCTCCAAAATCCTCATGTGCTTCAATCACCATTCATCCTCAATCCTCCAGAATCCTCATTTGATTCAATCACCATTCATCCTCAATCCTCTAGAATCCTCCAAAACCGCCAGGAGGATTTTGGAGGAGTGAGGTGGGTTAGGGTTAATGCATCTTGAGTAACTGGTCAGGTTCAAGTAGTTCAGTGAACTTTCAACTCGATCAAATATTCGGCCAATTTCACCCCCATGATGCAGATACAAGAGTGGGCATTGTGAGCATGCGCATTCCTAAAATGGTTGCCCCAAATTCAAATTGAATTGAGTTTCGCTTGGCAATGGCACAGCGTTTAGAACAATGCCATGCCACTGCCATTTTGGATGGACGATAGCGCGACAACCCAATTGCCAAAGGATAGAGATTGGCAGAACTCATTTTGCCGAGCCAAATGGGTCTAAATGCCGTGCTAGCGCCGTGCGAAATTGACAAAGTCAAAATTTATTGAGTTCAGCACGGCAGTAGCACGGCGTCTAGTACGGGCCTATACTATTCCCTCTGAAATCCTGAATGAACTCATCTATACAGGCATGCCACTTTTCCTCAGATCCGCTGATTTCCTAATTTTGTACTTTTCACGTATGCTACATGTATTACAAATTGAAAAACACTGTACAAAGTCTTGTCACTCTTGTGTGGTTTGGAGTTTCCTCGTTTTTTCTAAATTCGCTGTTGCATGCCTGTCTCAGTATAGCTGGTGGGCTACATGTAGGTTGTAGCCCACAACACAACAAAGAAGATGTTCCAAGGGTGTGCACATGTAGATTGTTTTACGACAAACTTTATTGCAAACATCTTTAAGTGAATACAAAACAAGTTTCACTGCCTTCCCTTTTCACAAATGCAGGTCCAAAAAGTATGGCAATGTCTTTGTATTCCATATCTTGCACAATGTCAGCGTTCAGGTGTACACCCCAGAAGCTGCAAGGGTAAGTTTAAAGATTGTTCAACCATTGTATGAGATCATGACGTCTTACAGTTTGAGTACTGTTCATGTGAAGTATTAAAGAGGTAATCCCTGTGCTATTTTCTAGGTTCACCTCGAAAAATAGATTTTTTTTTTTTCAACTGCAATAAAAAAAAAGTTATTCATTTTTGAATGAGACTTCGAACGAAAAAAACAGATATTTAGTTGTTGAATTTTATTTGCACAAAATTGGAATTAATTGCTGCCAGAAAATATTAATTCGGCTCTTGCAGGGCAGGTTATTTGTGCATTAAATGAAAGTCCTTTTTCAGAGGGTTGCAGAATTAGTGGGTTTTTCGTTGGAATAAAACACACAAATTAAAAATACAATCAATTTTTTTTAAGAGCACGTACATGGTATGCATCTTTGAGACATGTACCCACGTGCATGTACATCACTGTCGTCATTCACAAGACTTGTGAATGTTATCCCCACTGCATACACAACATAGTTGAAAATAGACCCTGGTTATGAGCTAGACAGGGGCGCCACAGGGGAGGAAGGGGGGGGGGGGGACGTACTCTCTCCCCCCCCCCCTTTTAATTTGGTTATTCACAAAACTGTTGTTCTGTCAACAAAATAGTGTGTCTTTTTTTGCAATTGGGTAATTCCACAAAGTTGGGTACAGAATGTGTGACATGAGGGTGAGTTTTTCAAAATAATGTGAAGAGCACTAAAATAACTTTTTTAGGTGCTGACATATATGTAGTGTCTAAAATAATAAACCATTTTGAGACATCTTGTCAAACGTTTTATTTTTAACAGTGTTGTTTATTAACAGATGCAAAGCAAGTTTCACATGTAACATGGACACCAAACATGAGGAATCACCTTTCCCATTGTTATTTTATAGAATTGATATGCTCCAAGTATAGAATGTATTTAAAAGGGCTTGATAAGTACATTAATTAAAATCATACATTTTTTGGCTAATCGTTATGAGATTATTGAAATCAGCTGTTGTTCACTCACATGAAATGGGCAAATTATATAAATTTGGCCCTCCATACACATTTTTTCTTGTATTGTCTGTTCCAAAATGTTTGTCTACATCAAACATGTGTAAAACACAAGGAAGCAAACCCACATTCAACTTATTTTGACATGTTACCATTTCTTTTACACAAGACAGTATCCATGCAAAATAATTTTGTGGTTTCACATGTAACAATGACACCAAAATATTGGTGTCCTTTTACACGTGAAACCGATATATGGATTATAAGGTAACAAACTTTAAACTTGATAAAAAATGAGTAAAACTTTATATTAAGTACCCTCCCCTTCCCCACTCCATTCCCACTCCATTCCCACCCTCTAGTACCCATTACATAACAGTGTTGTTGGATGCATTGTTCTATGGATTAACCATTCCCAAATGGATGAATTTACTGAACATGCTGAAGCCTAAATCAATGCAAATTATGAATTTATTTCTTAGGGGAAGATTTTTTTTTATAGTTTTGTACTATTCATTCTTATGTGTTTTGTTTCTTTTGTTTGAAAAAAAATGTTGAAATATCTTAATTCAAACCAGAAAAAGAAAATCACATGATGCTCCACCCCCATTATGAGAATGGAATGGTCTGGCGGTATCCTGGCCTGTGACCAATCAATGTTGACACTTCCCCTCTTATTTTAGACTAACTTCAGTAAGAATCACCAACTTTCGAACCCCCTTCAAACAGATAAATGAAAAGGACCCCATTTTTAATAGATCAGACGTTGACCATCCAACGCAGGCAAAAGCACAGGCCAAAACACATAATCGTACCACACCGTCACATGGAAACCACGTCGTGATATTTCCATACGATGTGCAATTTCAGTTAGGGTTTCGGGACACATATTTAGCGTCATTTGTGAAAGCTTAGCCTCTTCTAGTCCGAGTAACTTGGACCCAACTTATCGCCTTTTTTAACATTTTGGACATGGTCTGGCGATAGTGGGGTCCAAGCTAATACCGCGACCTGGACAACATCATCCTGTCACTGTCCCAAACCAACATTTTCCAACAAAAAACATCAGATTTCACCTTCAAAACGGCCTCCAAATTACTAGATATGCCACCTGAAGTACAAGTAGACATCGATGATTAAGATGGTTGTACTTAAGTTTACTTACGATCCGGAAGAAAAGTGAAATTTTCCGTTCATTTCGGAGAGCTCCCCTCGCAATCTTGAACACGTTAAATTTCCGATCGTGTTTAATGTTTGAATGACGCGATTTCTTCTACATGCCCAGCGTACATTCGATGGTCCCCGTATCCCGTGTGCGATTCCGTTACCGAGCGCACGCGATGCATCGATTATGATAATGAGTCACGTTTGTAAACACATACATGTGCATTTCGAACTGTAAAAGGAAATCGGGAACCAGCTTGAACTGGTACCCGCCATAAAAGCTGCGCTAGTTCCCGACTCCCTATTATCGTTTGAAATGCACATGTGTTTACAAACGTGATCCAGTCTACTCACTATCATAATCGATGCATCCCACGCGCTCGGTAACGGAATCGCACTCGGGATACGGGGACCATCGAATGTACGCTGGGCATGTAGAAGAAATCGCGTCGTTCAAACATTAAACATGATCGGAAATTTAACGTGTTCAAGATCGCGAGGGGAGCTCTCCGAAATGAACGGAAAATTTCACTTTTCTTCCGGATCGTAAGTAAACTTAAGTACAACCATCTTAATCATCGATGTCTACTTGTACTTCAGGTGGCATATCTAGTAATTTGGAGGCCGTTTGACCGTGCATGAGCATGTTTTATGCCAAATCACGGAAATGGAATATCACATCATCACGTGGTTACCATTTTGTTTCGTATCCATTCCGTAGCTAAGGCCAAGTTCGGGCAAGGACCATTAGTCGACTAGTGGTTGATTTGTGACGTACCTTACGCCTGCGCACTGATAGCAACGTGCGAACGTCTCTAGTCAAACGCTGGTCAAAATGTCATCGCAAAACTTCTGGATCCTGGCTCTCTGCTAGCGTTATGAATGCGCGCGGCTATTGGTTACCAGCGAAGCAACCAACCTCGGTAGGCTGGGCCAAGTTCGGGCAAGGACCATTAGTCGACTAGTGGTTGATTTGTGACGTACCGTACGCCTGCGCACTAATAGCAAAGTGCGAACGTCTCTAGTCGAACGCTGGTCAAAATGTCATTGCAAAACGTCTGGATCCTGGCTCCCTGCTGTATATGAACGCGTGCGGCTATGGTTGCCAGCGAAGCAACCAACCTCAGTAGGTTGGTTCCAAATAGTCGACTAGCGTAGTTAACCATCGTCGACTAGACAGAGTTCGGGCAAGCGTTAGTCGACCAATGGTTAACTATAGTCCTTGCGCGAACTTGCCCTAGGTTCCAAATAGTCGACTAGAGTAGTCAACCATCGTCGACTAGACAGAGTTCGGGCAAGCGTTAGTCGACCAGTGGTTAACTATAGTCCTTGCGCGAACTTGCCCTATACTGCAACAATTGTTTGAGATGTTATTCATGTTTCAGCATACACAGGGAGTAGTTCTTCGGGATTACCAGGCACCGTGTTGGTAAATCTGTAATCTAACCCTTGTGTCCTCCCCGAATGTGGTATACTTCGTAACTGACATCACACCGTAACAAAATGACGCCAAAACTATTGGCACCCACGATGGAAAAGTTGCCGAAAGCACGCGGGTTTCTTCTTGCAACAAAGCAAGGGTTGCATCCGGGTACTTTGATCGCAAGACGTTCATCCAGAAAATCTATAGAGGGCGCACGCGCGATCGCATTTAATTATCACATCGTCACGTTTTTTAGTGGATGCGAAGTCAACTACCAGTGAGTAACCACGGTTGTTTTTAAAAAATCGTGATTCGTGTAGTTTTTTTCATGATTTCTGGTTGGATACGAATGGAATGCTACTGTTTCTCGTGGAAATCGTTATTTGGGTCTTCTAAATGACTCTGACATTTTACAATATGTCGGTAAATTTCGGTCTCACCTCGTAACATTGCTGACACGAAATGTTACGATGTGCGCTGAGACTTCCGTGATCGATACTTCAGAAATGCAAGACGCATGGAATAAATAACAATCAGGGAATCGTAAACGGTCTATTGGTTCAACTTTATTTGCAAAACATTATTTAAAATATACTCTTGGGAACACAGAATCGTAAATTGAAGACCGAGTATGTTTCAAGTCACAAAATATTCTTAAAATAAACATGGATACCATGATATTTTGGTGACGTAGTTTGGGTTTCGACCAATTGGAGGTCCCAAAAAATATTTTTTTCTTGTTCGCACATTCATCCTCAATAAATCGGGATCGATAAAAAATGTGATTAATTTGTCAAAAAAGAAATAACAGCACTTTGTTTTCACTGGACCACTGTCACTGATGCATTGATTGTGTATCCAACTTCGTGGAATGACCCAATTACATGACGCAAATAGGGCCTCCTAATATTAGATATAGACCATGATCATGTTATGGCCATCTTGAATTTTTCCCATTGAAATCAACTTAACCAAAGCGAAGCTGAATGGGAAAATAGTCTGGTTCCTTTTTGGACCCAAAACCCCTTATCATTCACTACTGTAATTGGATACAGGGAACATGACTGAAATGGTGGCAGCATGATAAAGGTCTGATGTCCTGTCTTGTCAGCTTTGAACAGCGAGCCAGTTGATGTTTTTAACTTTTTGTCATATGGAAACGGGTACATGCAGTCAGAAGTTGAATGGCTTTCTTTCCAGGATATCTTGGTTTTGGAGAACTTCCCCAAGTGGCAAAGAGGCTATCGGGCTCTGACACAGGTGTTTGGACAACGCTTCTTCGGCAAAAGCCTTGTGACGGAAATCGACCATGAGACATGGAAACCCATGGGTGCTCTGTTTAGTCCAGCCTTCCATCGCAAGTAAGTCTTGCGGATTGAATTGTTCCCAGCTGGCCAAGGGCAAGCCTGCACTAAAAATCTTGCTCTGTCCAAGAGTCAGGTCAAGATTTGGAAAGAGGAAAAAGAAACAATGAAGTGCGACATGATTGCTCATTCTCCCACTCGTACTTGTACTCATACTTGTTCTCGTACTCGAGTACATTGTTTCGTTCTCATACTATAGTCATCCAAATGTACTTGTACTATAAACAAGAAAAAATACCTGTACTGGTACTCATAATCATACTCGTACTCATGGTAAACTAATGGTACTCATACTCATACTCATGGGAAATGTTCTATAACACTGCCTGGTTTGCACTTTTGAATTTTGTTCCTTTTTTCATTCCTGTTGTACCAAAAGCTTAAGGTCTGTGTTTTACACTGAGTTTGTATGTTATTTTTTGGCCAGCTTTTTGAAAACGTGTATTGTCCAGTTCAATACCAGCTGTGACTTGCTCCTAGAGAGCTTGTCTAAGAAAGCTGATGGGAAGACTGAAGTCAACATGCTGGACATGTTCAACAGTGTCTCCCTAGATTGCATCACCAAGGTAGGCCAGCCTACTGGTACATGCAACAACTTTTTTAGTGTTGTCAGTCTTTTTTAAAGATATTTTAAGAAATTGTTACCATTTCAAAATTCTCCAAAAACCTTCAAAAAAAGAAGAAGAATTGGTGAGTACTCAAAACTGTTTGAGGAGGAAGTAAAGGGGAGAAAGATGAAAAAATGACTGCAAAAGGAGATCAATAAAGGCAACTGTAGTTTATATTCATGCTTTTTTTGCCTTTGGCCTGGAAGTTGAAGAAGAGATTAAAGAAAGTGTGTAAAGAAAGTTTCAGAAAGTCCAGCTGAATTTCCAAATGAACCTTTTATTGGCACCCCACACGAACATTGCATGAACCTTATATTGAGCCTAGCATGACCCTTGGATTGAGCCTCACATGAACCTCATTGAGCCTCACATGAGCCTCATTGAGTCTCACATGAACCTAATATTGAGCCTTTAACATGAACCTCATATTGAGCCTCACATGAACCTCAGATTTAGCCTCACATCAACCTCATATTGAGCCTAACTTGAACCTCATATTTAGCCTCATATGAACCTCGTACTGAGCCTCACATGAATCTCATTGAGCCTCGCATGAACCTCGTATTTAACCTCGTAGTTTCAGAAATTCCGGCTGAATTTCCAAATGAACCTCTTATTGGCACCCCACACGAACCTTACATGAACCTCATATTGAGCCTAGCATGACCCTTGTATTGAGCCTCACATGAACCTCATTGAGTCTCACATGAACCTCATATTTAGCCTCACATGAACCTCATATTGAGCCTTTAACATGAACTTCATATTGGGCCTCACATGAACCTCATATTTAGCCTCACATCAACCTCATATTTAGCCAAACATGAACCTCGTATTGAGCCTAACTTGAACCTCATATTTAGCCTCACATGGACCTTGTACTTAGCCTCACGTGAATCTCATGGAGCCTCACATGAACCTCGTATTTAGCCTCACATGAACCTCATGTCGAGCCTCACATGAACCTCATAGTAAGTCACACATGAACCTCATATTTAGCCTCACATAAGCTTCATATGCGCATGAAACTCACTGATGAATCCTGCAAATGAATAATTTGTTTCAACCACCCACGTAACAACCTACAGACGATTTCACGAAACTTTACGCATTTGTGTAGCTCCACTTTCCACTTACGCCACAATTTATTGCGTAAGTTGCGCAACATTTCACACTGCGCAACATTTTAGTTATGACACATGACACACTTTACGAAAGTATGAAGTGCGCAAGTCCACGACTTGCGCAACAGATTATGGTGTAACTTGTGCAATAATTGTTAATAGGTGGCGTACGTTGTGGTGTAGCGACTGAAAATAGATTATTTTACAAACTCATACACAAATATCTGTTGAAAGTCTTGCTACCTCGTCCAACATGTTTAGATTATTTAAAGAGGTTGTGGAATGCTGAAAGTCGTTCTGTTTTTTATATTTTTTTATTGTAGAGTAGAGTAGACCCGTATATATCATAATGACAAACTCCCATTCTTTTGTAATGTGCGTTTATATGTTTATAAACTGAAATTCATCGAGTAATTTGTTGGTCGGCGAGCGCATAATTGAAATCAACAGTCGTCGGGTTCTCCGTAAAATCAGAAAAATTGTGACGTAATAAACAGGACTCGTTCACTATGCTGCATAGGGAGTCCTGTTTATTACGTCACGATTTACTATGTTTTGTTTGCTGCCCCCAACGACGACTTTTACACAAATTGCACATTTGGGTCGAAGCAGGACCTGAAAAACAGCTCTCAAAAGTACCTTTTGTATTCATTTCATGACAGAAACAATAGTCGTTTTTATTTCATCACACCTTAGGCTACATATGCCCGAAAAATGACGGAAATGTCTTCGAGCATTCCACAACCTCTTTAAAATGGTGGGGCAGCTACGCCAAGTTTCGTGAAATTGAGCGTAAGCTTATTGTGCTTAAAATAAAAAATTGTTATGCTTAAAATTATAAAATTTGTCGCGGAAGTCCTACGCATGGCGTAAGCTATGCACTGTCTCATGAAATCAGCTGCAGATGGTTGAAATTGTTTTCCCCTTATATTCAAGTACCATGTCAAGGGATATTGATACAAATGAGGAAAGCACAGAAGACAGCATTTACTTTCTGTTTTTGTGCAGGTTGCATTTGGTCTTCATGTGAACAGACTTGATGAAGAGAACCCCCAGCTCATTGCAGATATCAGGTGTGCAGCAGAGTCAGCATTTGAAAACTTCCTCAAGCCTCTGCTATGGGTAAATGCAACACCTGTTCTATAAATCATATCCTTGGCCTGGGTCCCCTATCTTTAGGAAGTACCGAATTGATCAGATTAAAGTAATAAAATCAAGTTAAATTAGTTAAAAATCAAGTTGAATTAGTTAAAGGGAATATACAACATTTGCTTTTGCTGTTATTTTCAGAAAATGATAGATTTTCGGGGTTAGTATTTTAGAGTAAATATTATTTCACTGACTTGTTTGAAGTTTGTGTTCGTAGATGCTGGGAAAACCAAGAAAAACAATCATGTTCCTGAAGTCTGGTTCCCTGACCCCACTTTAGAGCAATAAATAGATGCTGAGGAATTGTAAGGTCAGGGAACCGGTCTAGCTGCCTTGTACCCATTCATCATGTTCATAGGTGAGTAATCGATTGCAAACAAAATCTGAACTAACCAAATATGGTAAATTGAGGGCAGTATTTGAAAAAACAACAACATTTGTTGTGATTCGTAGATGGATGCGGCATTTTTTTTTTAAATTGCAGTGCAACCCATCCAAGTCGGCTAGGGAATATCGTGAGAAGGGGAGACAGGCCGTCAACCGCATTCGCAAGATGGCGCGAGATTGCATCATGACCACCATGGAGTCCTTGAACTCCGGCCAGACGCTGGACAACAACATACTGGCTCACATACTGCAGACGTCGACGCTGAGCGACAAGAACGGCGTCATCACGGAGGTGGAGCTGGAGAAGATGGTGGATCATTTTGTCACGTTCCTGGGGGCAGGTATGGATTAGGAACGAGTGGAATCTGTACACAAGTACCTGTTTAGCAGATAAAAGGATCAGCACATAAATATAATAATAGTAATAATAAAAAAAAAAGGAAAACGTGGCGAAACATCGCTGGGGAGACAGAATTTTTCAGAGTTCAGGCCTAAAGCTCAGGATTACTGTACCTGAAACTGTGAAACTTTCAAATTCAGTTTCTACTTAAAAAAAAAGGTTGAAAATCTACCTATGCGTGGAAGCATTTGATTAATTTTAATATCGCTTTTTGTATTGTGCAGTTTATCTTAATTTATCTTGAATGTGACTCTCAGATACTTTTCAGATCTCAGATATGATTTCTTTGTTACATTGGTTGTTATACAGTGAAGCACCATGAGCGCCACTTGCGGCGGACACCGGTGCTTTATAAAGGCCATGATTGTTATTATTATTATTAAGAGACCAATTATCTGTAGCAGCTCGAGATCAGTGCAATCTGGTCTCTACCCTCACAGGTACCCATTTATACTCCAGGGTGGAGAGAGGCAATTGTCATAAAGTATCTTGCCCAAGAACACAAGCACATGTTTCCTATCGGGGTACGAACCCACGTACCAATCGCACACTTTCAAGTACCAAGTCAGACACTGTAACCACTGGACCAAAGCACTCCACAGCAATAAGCCCAAATTTTAAAGTAAAACATTATTTTGACATAATTTGTAATTGGGATTGAAATGATTTGGGGATGTTTGTTTGTGTTTTATTTCCAGGACAAGAGACCACAGCGTGTCTCATGGCGTCTACTTTGTTGGAGATTGTGCAACTTCCAGAAGTTGTATACAAGTGAGTTGTGGGGCTTTCAAAATACTTTGAGGCACTACTTCGAACCACGGTGAAGTTACTGCAAAATATTCCCCCAAAAGAGTACATTGTTGTGAAATTTCCCTCCTTCCGAAACACTGTATCTTTTTTAACCCTCCTTTGTCTAACTTAAGGGCTTTGCTGAAACTACCAAATATCCAATCATCCACAGAATATTGGAATGGCATTTTTATCAAATAGAATATTTAAAAAATTGTTAACCATCTCGAAATGATGACAATCTCCAACCCTCCCCGACCCTAGCAAGGGGTTTTGGTAGGACAACTACACATCACTACTTGTATGAGACTTAAAAATGTGCAATTAATTTCATGTGCAAAGGTTGATTTTGGAGGAATTATAAAGTTTCCTGGGGAAAAAAGTATTCTCAATGCTGGTGGCTTTTCTGTTGATAGTAAGTAGGCGTGTGAACTTCAAAAAGACAAACAATAATCAAAATTTGCATATGTGAAGAAAAATATTCCAGCTGTCTTCAAGAGCTATATTTTTGTATTGTAATACACTCAGAATGAAGACAGAAGCAGACGCTGTGATTGGTGACAACGGATACGTTAGCTTTGAGGACTTGTCCAATCTGAAATACACTCAGGCGGTAAGATAATTTGAATATATAACAGGATAATCAAGTGAAAGTTACTGAAATATATTTTTGGTAGCCATAATATTCGTCCTCTTCCCACCACAACCCTTTACAATAATATCTGCTGCAGTGTGTACACGCAAAGGTTTTGCAGTACTCAGAACAGATGAGGATAAAAACACAAAGAGCAAGGCCGGAAATATCTGTCTGCGACCCGCTCGCAGCGAGCGAGGCCGGAAATATCAGGGTGTGCTACCCACATATGACGGCCTGAACCCGACTGGCATCGAGGTTCATGAAAAAAACAATCCCGCGCCTGGGTCCGGTCACTGTCGAAATAATCCTGGCATGAATTGGTTACTGGTCCTGTTACAGTACAGATATGCACTCAGATGTGTGAAATTCGACCTTTACTAGACTAAAAGCAACTTGAGCTGCGGGATAATTAACGAGTTACAAAAGTTAAATTCAGGATTGAGGAGATACATTTTTTAGTTAATTTATTTCTGGTAATGAAACTACAAATTCCTGAAAAACGCCCTTGGCACTATAGCTCGCAAGCCTGAAGAAAACTGTAGAGAGAAGACAATGAGAAGACATTACAGTTTTAGAGGAGGGAGGAAAACCCCAGAAGAATATTCTGGGGAAACCCACGGAATCAGGTAGGGACTGAAAACCCAATCCACATGTGGACCTGGGTGGGAATCGAACCCGGGTCACAGCGGTGGAAGGCAAGGAAAGAACCGCTGTGCTAAGCCGACTTTCCGAGATACTCTTAGGTGCAGAAAAACAGACATTAATATGCATTGCAGGGAAGCATGTAGCCTTTCACCAACGCCATCGTGGCTTAACTTGCCCGCATTCGCAACTCCACCGCTCTAAGCCACGAAGGCCTGGGCGAAAGGCTAGGAAGCATGCAGCTAACAAAGAGTTAACGCCGTGAAAGTTAATGTAACTGATGGTGATCAATCAGTGCGCAGTGACGTCACTGTTCACCAGTAAATTCCCCCGACCCTTACATCCCAGAGCCTTCAAGAAGCAAACCAAGATGTTTTGGAAGATTTTGTAAGACTGAGGAGAGTAGAGCCTAGAAACTATCACTTTACATCTGATTTACTACTGCTTGATAGTTAATGTCCTAAGAATTTGCTAATGGAGGAGTGTTTGCAAAACCTTTTGATAAAAATGCTTAAGAGGTTAAGGTAAATACAATTTTTTTCTAACGCTGAGTACTGTTTCGAATGTGTTTGTTTGAGTGGTGCACTTGTACTTGTTTCATTCCAGGTTTTGAAGGAAGGTTTGCGTGTCCATCCTCCAGTGTCCAGCGTTCCCAGACAGCTGACCAAAGATGTCGTCTATAATGGTATCAAAGTACCTGCAGGCTCCCCTGTTGCGGTAGGTTTCCCTTTTTTGCTGGTCTCAGAGAGGGCCAGTCTCTAGTCTCTAGTGACTGGCCAGTCTCTAGTCTCTAGTGACTGGCCAGTCTCTAGTCTCTAGTGACTGGCCAGTCTCTAGTCTCTAGTGACTGGCCAGTCTCTAGTCTCTAGTGACTGGTCCACTCACTGACTATCACTTCACTTAGACTGGTTACTCATCTCATTGATTGTCCCTTGTGACTAACGCTGGTCAGTGAGCAGCTGTATGAGATGTGCCTGTTCATGTATGTCATGTAGCATCTACACCGTATTAATCTGGTGCTGCTTATTTGATGTGCTGTTGTGATTCATGTACAGTGGAACGTCGCTACACCGAACACCGCTATACCGAACATTCGGCTATACCAAACTTCGTCCTTTGCTCCCGATTTTTGTGTACAAACCTTACCAAACATTTTTGTTAAAAAAGTCAACAGAAGAGTGACAAGTGGCTATTGCACTCAACCAAAAAAGAAAGCCCCCTCTTCCAATACTTTTTTGTCTAACTCAAAAACTACTGAGCACCTCTCGCTCAAATAACGACTAATCAGTACGGAAATTCCTTAGCAATCCAGCCATACTCTTTACTTGGCCTAAAACAGTGATAATGTGTACGAATTTATGCAAGTTATGACAAATGATACCGAAAACAGTTGCACTTTTGTATACGTGCAAGTTGTGGTTCACACTCGCCTTGCACATATACAAAAGTGCAAATTCTTTTTGGTACCATTTGTCATAAATTGCATAATTTTGTACACATTATCACTGTTTGGGCCAAACAAAGAGTATGGCTGGATTGCTAAGGAATTTCTGTACTGATCAGTTGTAATTTGAGCAAGATGTGCCCAGTAGTTTTTGAGTTAGACAAAAATGTATTAAGGGGGGACTTTCTTTTTTGATTGAGTGTATTTCCCCAAGGAATAGAAGGGGAGAGGCACCCATTGCTGTAGGTAGTAAGCCCAAAGACTGAGTAATTACATAATTCAGGGCTAGTCGGGATTAGCGTGTGAATGGCTGATAGCTCCGCTTGGTATTCTGGCTTGAATATTACACGTTTGCCTTACAAGTGATATTGTCCCCAATTTGTGTAACAGTGTTGTAATATATACATGTGATCAAAATACAAACTTAACATGAACTGAGAAATGTGTCCATTCCAATACACTAGAAAAGCATGGTGCTAGCTGCATGGCAACTCTAATGATATCTTTTGTTGAAGCGTTAGCTTTCTGTTGACATTATTACTCTAGGTGAGCATGATCAACATGGCCAGGCAGGAGGAGTATTTTGAAAAGCCGGAGGAATTCATACCAAGTCGATTTTTGAATGACGAAAGGTAACAACTTAGGCTGAGAATATTGGCTTCAAAAGGATTTGTTTTTATTCATCGGTATATTGGGAAAGGCATTTAGGGCACTATGATGCTTGTGGGAGGCTTCTTGGGACTATTCCAATTGGTCATTAACCCGTCATGTGGTTGGTTTTAAACTGCCATTTTAACACCGGTTGTGAGACATGCACAGTACGCACCTTGCACGCTGGCCACAGCTGAGTGCTTTTTAACCACAGATATGATCTCCGTATAATGAGATGATGAGCAACCATGCACAATCTTCACCATAGAAGTGGCCTGAACGTTGAGTTAAATAGTAAAACAAAACCGCTGAGCAGTTTGCCAACATTTTGACGTTTTATGGTTTTTGATCGGATAAGGTAGATATGAATTGGGAATGATTGTGTAATGAAGCAGAAACTTTATAAACGTGATGGGAAAACTGGTTGCTGATGATGGCCCTCGCCTTCGACCTTCGGAGATTTATGCGAAGACTCACTTTATTCATTGGCATTTATAGGAATTGTTTTCTCACAAGAGATGTTACTTTATGTACAAATGTTCTGTTAGCCATAATAGGTTGTTGCAATCTGCTTAAATTACCATCTACAATGACCGCAAGTATATAAAATATAAAGGTTGAGAACTCTTTGTCAATTCTGCTAGGATCGTGAATTTAGGACTCCGAACTTCAAAAAATTCATGTTTCAATTGACATTTTCCCGTTCTTTTCTTCATTAGTTTCAAATATGTGCACATCCCCTTTTCTCTGGGTCCAAGAAAATGCATCGGGCAGCAGTTTGCAATGGTGAGTGCTTGACATAATGACTCTTCAGTGACTGAGAAGGGCCATCTTTGAATTTAGAAGATTGAAATGAAATAGGTTAGCTCAGGGTCCGTCCGTTATATTCTAGACGTAAAAAGGGCGGGGGGGGGGGGGGGGAGCAGTGGTGCTGGTCTGAGTATCATCCATAAGTAAGCTTTTCAACAATATTTTTTTGTCAGATACTTTTTGGATAGCTATAAATGATCTACTTTAATATAGTCCAGTCCTCACAAGTCATTCATTTTGCATTGAACCCCCCCCCCCCCCCCCCGATAAGATTTGAAGGTTTGCATGGTGAAGGGTAATAATAAGGTAAGTTGTTGCGGTAGCACCACGTGGCAAAATCTCTTTTGTGAGTATGTGTGGTTCTGAAAGAACTGGAGGGTACTCAATGTTTTGGACAGTATGCTCTGCCCCTTGTCACGAGAATGAGGGATTCAAAGGGGGAAGTGGGGCCTGGAAGCAATGAAGCGTGAGAGGGATGCAAACCCAGGGTCCTCATGCAGGCCGTGGGATGCAAGCGGTCAAGCGTAAGAAGGATGCAAACTGAGGGTGCTCAATCCCTCAGTCTCCTGTTGACGGGCAGAGCATACTGTTCGAAACCTTGAGTACCCTTCAGTTCTTTTCAGAACCACACATACAAAAGAGATTTTGCCACATCATGCTACCGCAATAACTTACCTTAGGATATTGTTGTGAACTTACTTGTGATTGACTTATTTGATTTATGGGTTAATCTGTTATCGACTTGTTTGCAACTCTGGCCAATAAATATTGTAACCAAAAGTAACACATAGACTTCACTAGCAGAGCTAAGTCCGGTTCATACTGAACGCGAAATTGAACACGACCATGAAGTTGAGATGCCATGGCAAGTTTTCTTGCTGCAAATTCGCAACAGTTGAACACATTTCAACTTCGAATTTAGTAGCTAATGTTTCAAAATGTCAAACTCGCTTCGTTTTTGCATTGGCGTAAAGACGCTGAACTTAAGTACAGTAAAGGGGACGAACCTGTGTTCACAGGAACGGAGTGCCCATCTCTCTTTCGTTAGCGATTGGGCCAGACTCATATATGCTGCTGTTGGGGGGATCGCCACACCACCTCCACAGCGAGTCTATAATTACCTTCCTAGCATTGAATAATGCCGGTACCCATTTAACACCTGGGTTGAGAGGAGTAATTGCGGTAAAGCACCCTACTCAAGGGCACAACACACATGGCCATGGCAGGGCTCGAACCCACAACCTCACGATCATGAATCCTGTGCTCCACCGCTAGACCACACGTGCCCACCAATAAAGACGGTGAAGTATATGGCATATTTCATTTTCAAACATTGTCAATAACTCTTCCCACTCCACCTGTGACAGATTGAGGCTCGCGTCATCATGGCCAAACTGATGAAGTATTTCCACTTTGAGCTGGTACCCGGTCAGTCTTTGCACTTCGTTAAGATGGTAACCTGCAAACCCAAGGACGGCTGCTTGGTGTACATCAAGCCTGTCGTTCCTCTCAACCATGTGACTTCATAAATCGGGCGGTCCGAGAAACTTCAACCAGCAGAATTGATTCCTCAGGAAATTTCATTCTAACTGGGGTGCAGGGTGGCCACTTATCAAATTTGAAAATCCAAGATGACCACAGAAAAATTCCCAAGATTTCCCAAGATATCTTTACTCATAGAAATAGCAGCACAGACCCTATTTGTATGTGAATATGGCTCACAAAGTGCTTCAATTAACATTTTTGTCTGTTCTCAATATGCAAAAAAATGCCAAGGCTCAGCGAAATGTTCCCAAGCCCTGGCCTAAATTCCCAAGATCTTGGGAAAAATCCCAAGGAGTGGCCACGCTGCTGGGGCAACATAAGCGCATGTTACTCATTGCTTGCTGTGTTGCCACTAAATTTGAGGCAACAATGAATACACAGTGATTTTGATGTCATGTGTCATGAAGCTCTGATCATACGAGGGAACAAAATTAGATCTCAGATATTGTACGTGGCAACTTGTACCAAAGAATGGCAGACAAACTGCAACGTGAGTAACCATAACTGACTTACCAAAATATGTCTCTCTGGAAGCTTTGTGATTGATTATTTATAATAATTGTAATGGCAGAATATGACTTACACCCTAATGATGTAAAAGGCACTTACAAGATTTTTCCGTCAGCACACAGAGGAAAACTTTCAAATGCAAGGCATTTAAAATTTTCCATATCCTTTTTGTGTTACGTGAGTTACCCATAAAAACTTATTGCCGAGTGAAAAGAACTTTTTATGTTGGCCTTTTGTTGTAGTTTTTTCAATTAATTTCAAGGGATCTTCAGTGAGAAAAATCCACCATAATTTAACTTTATAGACTAACAGCACAGAGTTGACGGAAGACGTTTGGAGGGGCCAAAAGTAACGCAAGTTGTCATGGAATTACCCCTATACAGCATGCCAAGGTTTGAGTTTTGGCTAAGAAATAGGGGTGCATGGCCTCTTGAAATCACCAGGACCCCTTACTGACGTCAGGGGGATGGCTGTTCTGTTTCCATAGCAACTGGCAGCATACTGCTATAGTCATGTTTAAACCAAACCACACCCATCTGGAATAGACTAACCCAGGGAACAAAATTAGAAGTCATTTCAGACTAAAAACATGCTTGTGTGCATATAGTAAGGTTCTACAAAGCCAGGCGTGTGTGTATTTGCGAATCCACGCATACTTGTTCTGCAACTGTGGGGATGTATACGTTTTGTCCCGTAGTACTATGGGGACCAAGATGCTGTGGGGACAGCAGAAAGTCCCCATAACTGAGTCCTACATGTAAGTTGCTTAGCAATAAGAAAATTCCCAGAACGCGGTCCAATAAGAGTGCGTGCATACCACCTGTGTCTGAGCATTCCAATTTAGGTGTGGATTAGTCTGCACACCCTGTATGAAATAGAAATTGGAAATTTTGAAACTCTGTGATGGATTGGCAATAACCATTTTCTTTATTCAATGTGTCATATGTTGACATACTAGATGTAAAGTTACTGAAACAAATGCATCCATGTTGCATTCCGTTATCTGAAATCTTTGTATTTTTATAAATTGTGTATTAGGCCATATTCTTAGCAGCAAGTCTTTATGAGTTAACAGATTATATTTAAATTTTGGTTATTTTAATCCGGGACAGACCAAATCATCAAAATGTATAAACGTATTAATTATTAGAAATGGATGTCTTTTACATGTGCATACAATTTATTTTTTGTTAAAATGTTTGACATTATGAATGGGTTAAAGGGAATGTACATCATTAATTTGCTTTTGCTGTAATTTTCAGAAATGGATGGAATTGGGGAGTTGGAAATATATAGCAAATATAGTTACACTGACTTGTTTTAGGTTTTGGGTTCGAAAATGCTATAAAAACCAAGAAAAACAATCATTTTCCTGTAGTCTGGTTCCCTGACTCCATTTAAGAAAAGACAGAGCAGTTTACATATATTGGGGAATTGTAAGGTCAGGGAACCAGTCTAGCTGGCTCGTACCCGTTCATAGGTTTGAAATCGATTGCAAACAAGTGCGATGGTCAATTGGGGCCAGTATTTGCAAAAAAAACCCCATTTTTTTCCAACGCTGATCGGCCGATCAGCGTTGGAAATTGATACAAAAATACCACTTTTCTTGAAAATGACAGTATACCAGGTGCCATGATTTTACAGTATGCTTTACACTGTCATTCACTAACAGTCCAGCAAGGTATTTCAAAATGATTTGGTAGTTTTATTTTTTGATGTTTGCAAAAGTTGTATTTTCCCTTTAAATGGTGAACTAAATTGAAAAAAAATCTAAGAAACTTCACTGGGAATAACTCAATCCAGTCATGTTTCTTACTAACTATGCATGAAATACGTTATCTTTATCAGCCTCAATTGTGTAAAGCATAGTACTTTAATGAACAGAGTATTGTACTTAGTCAGTAGTGTGCTCACTGAATGAAGTATATGTATGTATTCAATATTAACTAGTGTATTGTTCAATATTTCATATACAGATTATTTTGTTGCATTTTTGTAATCATAATAATGATTAATTTCAAAATTAAACCAAAGAACTGAAGTACCTCACACCTTCATACTTTGAAAATGTGTCTAACACAAGTATTTATGATACTTTTATGAAATATGTAGGATAGTTATTGCCCATACATGTTTTTGGTAGATCTAGTTTTTAAGATAGTATATTTATAGTCCCTTCATGTTACTTCATCATTTATATCCATTTTTTACTTAATCATTGGGCGAAATATCTGACTACCTTAGAAATACTAGTATTCTTTTTTGTTAAAAACAACTTTTAAAATAAGTTTAACAATACGATTCCAGTACATTAGTTATTTATAATTGTTAAAGGTACAGAGGATCATTTACTTTGAATGAATTTTTTTTCATTTGAAGCCACAAAATTGGTCAAAATCTGAAGTGTCCAAAGAACTAACCTGTCGAAGTTTCAGCTCATGGAACACTAGACATTTTGAGAAATCAGAGAATATGTGTGCACAAATTTTTTTGTTCTCTTCAATTGATTCAGTTGCTAGCCTAACTCACACAAAATACCATTTCAGGTGGAACAATTTCACAGGTGTTTGACACCGGTCCTGTCTTCACTTGAGCAAGGTTTCTGTCATGAAATCGTGAGGTACTTCTCTGGGTACTTTCAATTACAAATGATCCCCGGTAGTTCAAGTTGTGAAACTTGTTAACCAGACAGTCAAAAGGAATCGAGTTACATATCTAACCACATTTTTAACTAGTTACTTTCATCTTAATGTCTACGGTGCATAGAATTGAGGCATTAAATTTAATTTTTTTTTTATGCAATATTAATATTTTGTGAGCTTATTCAGATATGCAAAAAGCTCTTTATTTGAGCTGTAGAAATGTTTGTAGATTAGAAAGTAAGTTTAAAAGTAACCAATATATAAACATATATATTTCAAATAATTCTTTAGTGTGATCTTTTCAAAAACAAAATCTTGTATAATTATTTGCATAGAATAAAACATTCATTTAACACATTGCCAATTTCTGTGTGCATTGTAAAAAGAAAAAAAAATTGTGAAATATTTTTATAAATTTTAATACGTTTACAAATTTTTGTGATTTTAAAAGCCTCATAACATTATCATCTTCAGTAAGCAGCATCTTAGGTATCATATACATAGCTATTGCAAAAAAAAAAATTATACTTGCATATTCAAAAATATATTTAAAAAACTTAACTTTGTCAATAAAATTTCATTACGAAGGGGCTCCTTGGAGCTATTTGATATGTCTACTACACACATTTTAAAGAAAACATTTGGCATCTTTCATTTCCACAACTACAAATCTCGAAACCTTAAAAGGCCTTTTTCTCAGTATTACTTTCTTGGCATGTCGATAAATGTGCACTTTAAACAGCCATAACTTGTCAATGGAATGTCCGATTGAGGTGAAAAACAGTGTTATAACAATAAAAAAGCTGACGTTGGCAGCTAAACAAACCCCAATAGTAATTTTTTCCCCAGTTTCCTTAATTACAGCTGCTCATTCGTGATCGTCCTCTGCCAAGATTACAACCAGGCTTCTGGTCCATGTTTGTCTTTGATAAGCATCACTTTGTCGATCACTTCCCCGTGCTGCATGATAAAAAAACAGACAGAAAGAAGCAAGTGAAGATGCAGTCAGGTTTACATAGAAGTACTTTTTCAAAATGATGACCCTGGTTAGAAAACCACGAGGTGCAGCAAAGAGCCTCACAATTATTACCCCTGTTCATCAGGCCATGAGACTACTTTTCTGCAGCAGCTTCAGATCAGTGCATTTTGGTCTCTAACCTCACATGTATCCATTCATACTCCTGGGTAGAGAGGCAATTTTAGTTAAAAATCTTGCCCAAGAACACAAGCCCCAAGTCCATGTTCTCTGTCGGGGTTCAAACTCCCATGTCACATTGTGAGTGGCATTCAGCTCGTGCCTGCACACCAAATGCTTACATGTCTGTTACTCGTCATCCACTGTGCTACCACTGAAGCTGACATAGCTATTAAAGACTCTGTCCTCGTGCCATCATGAAATTCTGTCGCAACATTTTCCTGATCGGCAACCCAGGAAGAATTGTGCTCACTGCTCGAGAACAGATCAGGCCACCCATGAGATGAGAGTTTACAAGAATACAGTGACAGCTAAATGAGACCAAATTAAATTCCTCTGCTGAACTACTGCCCATAGAGTGAAAGTACTTGCATGATTAACAATCACAGTTTTCAAATTTGTTTTCTTAGGGAGAGAAAAAAGAGGAAGGGTAGGAGATGGAGGACTACGCCCTTCACCTACCCCACTCCATCATATTGTCCAACTATTGTGTTGCCCCTTCCCCCCCCATCTCAAGCAACAACAAATGTATTACAGATCTGCAAGTTGAGTCTCTGACTCTGAGCTCAAGGGATAATTATAAAGAGATTGCAATTCATAAAGTATCAGTAAAATGCAACAAAAACGAAACTTCCTTTGTTTTTTTTCTGGACAAAAGTTCTGAATAGCCCTATTAGGTCTGATATTTGACAGCCCTTTGGTAAATCACAGACCTTTCGTCCCAAGCTAAGAGAGCATTCCAAACATTTTAGTGTCCCCAGATCGATGGATATTTTTTTTCATGAAAATTTGGACAGGATCTTTTCTCTCCAATTTGAAAAATACGTCTGACAGCTTTGACCTTGCAAGCATTTTATGACAACTGGTTTTGGAACCCTCAACTGGCTTCGTTTCAAGCTGTGGATTCATCAAATAGTAGGCCTCGCTTTTGGGGACTTCGCTTTAAAGGGCCCATGTGATGGAATTATTCTAAATGCAATCCTGGATATGTTCCATTGTGTTCCATTTAACTTTATTTGCAATCTCCATATTGTCATTTTAAGGTGGGTTTTTTGGTGCCTTTTTGGTTTTGCTAACAGAAATGTCCATGTTCATGAGTAAAACTGTGATGTCATTCAAGGCAGAAACTTCAGTTTCGCATCTGCTTCAGCATAAAAAGTCACCAGAATATAGGGGTTTGCTGTGGTTATTTTTCTGCTTTCTGTGGTTCATTGTTTTTTCTCTCAGTATATGACACTTGAGATGAAACTGCAGGGTAATTGAGGGGAAAACCTCTCTGGAGTCTACCTTATCATCGGAGATTTGCTGCCAAGCTAGGTGAGTCTTGTTGATCACCTGCATCAATGTGAACCCGTAGTCTTCGGCACGGAAAGCGTCCCATGGCTTGGGCAAGGAGAAGATATCATGACGCTCTTGGCATCCCTACCATGTAACAAATATAAAAACACCAAACATTAATTGTTGAATTGATGCCTAATCTACACCTAAAAGGATTCCTAAATAAATGTCAATGCTCAGGCACGATGTCATCTATATTTAATTTTAATTCATATTTATTGATATTTATAATTCATTGTCAGAATTTTGGTAGCACAAAGTCTTAAATAATTTTTCGGGAAAAAAAGCAAGAAATAAAATGTCAGGTATAAAATTTGATGCACACTTTGTGTGAAGGAATGGAAAATGTAGATGTCTCATTGCTTGCCAGGGGAGAACACAACTCCACCACTTCAACCAGAACAGTTCCCCCAAAACCTGCCCCTTCCCCCCCCCCCTCAAAAAAAAATATCACTTACCGCCGAACCAGTGGTGATGTGCACAGGTGCCTTTGGATTTGTGTATGGTGCATCTTTACTGCCATTGTAAACCTACCAAAAAAAAGTGACAGGAATATTAAATACATGTGCCTCTCATAATCCTGCAGCATAATAGTAGTAGCTGTATCCCTTCAAACCTTTTGGAATAACTCAATGAATTTAAAATTCCTTTTTGGCAAAAGCTTCTGTTATGGTACCTACCTTTTCTTGATAGACTGGCCACAGTCTCTCATAGTTGTGCTCGTGGGCCCAGATCTCCATATCAACACCTGTTGAAAATAAACAGGAACACTCATTCAATAATTAACGACAATTTTTCCATTATAATTAACCACCACAAGTTTTGCTCAAGCTTCAAAAATTATGTTCAGTTTTAGCCAATAATGAATTGCAATGAAAACTATTGGGGGTGAGTACTAGCAAAATCTTGCATTTAAAGAGATGGATTTATATTGACTGATTTATTTCTTTTGAAACTCTGGAAATCAAACACTGACCAGAATATTCAATTTTTAATTCTACGTGAGTTACCTACCGTTCTTATAGAATAAATCCTCCAAAGCTGCTCGCACCTACATAAATGGTAAGACAAAAAGAAAATACCCCTCAATTTTACTGAGAAACAAGAGTCAAGACTACCAGTTTGTACACAGCCAAAATACGAACATGTATCTTAAGAATCCAGACAGTTGAGGGCATATTAAGTGTTTTTGAAAAAGCTCCTTTTGGGGGGGGGGGGGGGGGGGGGGGGGTGAAACATCAAGGCCCGAGGTGATTAGATTATGACCCGATTATAGGGTCAAGTATTCCAAGCTGGAAACAAGACCAATCCAACCTCAAGACTGGTCTTAAGACTAAAGAGCGATCTCAAGTAATCACATCAGTGCTCATAACAGCATTTTGTTCTCAAAGTTATTGTTGAGTTTAATCCATTTCAAATCAATAGTCCATTACAAGTCAATCGCAAGTAATTTAAGGATCGAGTGGGGTTGTGCATCGGAACTGGGTACCTGAATACTGACGTCAGGAACCGACAGGGACATAAATCCGGGGGGGGGGTAATGGGGGGGTATGGGGGTATATATCCCCCCCAGGGGGGATGGGCTATTGAATCATCCCCCCCTACTTTTTTGTGATGTAGCACCTCATTGTGGTACAAATGCGTTGCATGCACCATCCTATCAATATAAAGAAGTGAACATTTCTACTGCAATCTTTTCTGTTTTCCTCGTCATTTTTTGGTCATGCAAAGCCATATGATTCCCAAGTATACTTACAAGGCTACTGAGTTTGGTACAGTCATCGCCGTCTGTGTCAGAGCAATACATAGGCCGATGTCCAAGGGTTATGATCCACGGGTGTTCTGTTCTGTTCTTTGGATCATTTGCTTCCTACACCAAAAACATCACACAGATAACCGCAGTATCATCAGTAGTGGTTCGAGTCCCAAGTTACTGAAATCTCAATTCGCAATTTAATTTTTTTTTCAAAATCAGATCTGCCTAAGCAAACAAACAATAGGCTATATGTCTGCTGGTACTTAAACAATATAAAAGTGTAAAGTTGTTTTAGGATTTTTAGAAATGCTCATAAAATCTCATAAACAATTTAAACATTTGGAAACCAGCTGATTGCCAAAAATTGACTTCTAAGATTGGTAATAAACCAATACTCCAGGTAACATTCCATGTATTTATAGTAATCAGTTTTACATTTTGCAAGGATTATTATTTTTTTTTTTACTTATGGCTAACAGTTTGCAGTATCCATGTACCTTGAGATCTTCTTCAAGCCACTTCAACTGGTTGACTTTTGTCTGCTTTGAATCGTCTGTGAAGAAATACACCTCTGTTGAAAATATCACGAAATGAACAGGTCCAATATTCCAGCTGGAAGACAGAAGAAAGGAATGGATACATAATGGAATCAATGGTTAATATGACTATAAAGAGAACGAAAAAAAATAATTTGAAATCACATGTTCTGCGTGACATAACGAGGAGAAAAATTATAATGGATTTGCGGCTCCCGTGAATTTTTACAAGCTGTCCATACATGTCAAAGAGCGAGTCGGAAAATCTGGCCAAACATGCCAAAATTTCTGTTTCTGAGATTGTATTAAAAGGATACATCAAGAAGCATTACATTACAATATTCAATACGCACCTTGTCAGGAAAAATATTATTGGAGACCGATCCAAAAGAGGTAGGTTTTCATTTGAAGCGATCCGGATTTTTGGAACGAGGAAAACGACTGTTACAAATGTAGTTTGCTTTGTTAAGTACAAGTGTATACAACTGGCCTATCATTTGCAGCTATCCAAAAAGTAACTGACAATATTATTGTTGCAGTATTCTAGACTGAAAACTCAGGCAGGAAAGGTAGCTAAATATAGTGAGGCTTACCTATACCACAGATTCTGGTTGCTGTCATAGGATGGCATTGTGAACCGATTCTTGTAGTGGGAAAAATTACTGTCAGATTGAGAAAAGAAAAATTGGTGGATTTATGTTTCAAAATGTTATGTACTGGCCTATGTTACAACTGATAATGTTGTAACCAACGGATAATGTCACCAACCGATAATGTCACATAACTTGACCGATACTGTATCACAAACTGATAATGTAACACAAAATTGACCGATAGTGTTGTAAAATGTACTACACTATCAGTCAATTGTTGTTGCATTATCGGTCCTAACCGATAACGTAACAACAATTGACTGATGGTACAGTAACATTTACTATAGTAGCCGTCATTTTTTGTTACATTATCGGTTAGTGATACAATATCGGTCAAGTTATGTGACATTATCGGTTGGTGATACATTATCCGTTGGTTACTACATTATCAGTTGTAACAGGCCTACCGGTAAAAACGTAATTTCAACTACTTAATAAATATTCCAATCAATTTGCCACAATTTACAAAACCTGTTCAAATATTCAAGGGTTAGTTAAATTGCACTTACTAGGCATTTTCATGGTTTCCAACTGCCGTCATGTATGGCACGTAGGCTGCAACAGACTCAATTTGGCGCATAAACTCATCCCCAACCATACCGTTGTCACTGTCAAAGTCATAGGCATAGTCCCCTCAAAAGAAAGGAGTAAGTCAATAATAACTGTCCATGCTATTTTCAAATGTCACCTCGAGGTTTTTTTAAATGTCTTTGTTTCTAGCAATACAAACTGAGATTAATTCCGGATAAGACTTGCAAACTCATGAATTTCAAAGTACATTTTCTACATGTATATCATTCTTTCTTGGAAAGTAGACAAACCAAGCTTTCAGAAACAGTTTTTGCTTTTTTTCTACTGCACATGGATTTATTTTATCAAGGCTTGAAGTGTTGAGAAACAGAAGTAGCATTTTCCTCTATTTTGTGATGGAAATTTGAAGTCCCCTCTGTTACAGTTCTGAAGCTCCAAAGATTGTATTTTTGGTTGACTATGAAGTCTGATGCCGTCCCTATCCACCACTATAGAATTTTAAACCAAAAGATGAAACATAACAGTCTTGCACCATTTTGAAGAAAAAAAAACACGTTCCAATGTCCCGTCTGTTCCAAAAAAAAACCCATAAAAAAGTTGTGTACTTTTTACATGAAAAGATCTTTTTGGTTCAGACTTGAATTCCTATCTTCTATCAAGGTGACCTCACCTAGAAAGTAAAATAAAAATATCATTTGATGTATGGTTGATCCGATATTTCATCTCAAACTCTGTCCCGTCTGTCACAATTTACCCCTCTGTTATTTTTTTTGTCCCGTCTGTCACATTTTTTCAATCACCGGTTGAAAAAAAAAGTTGAACATACATTTCTTGTAAGCTCTTCTGGTTTTTAATATACAACATGCCTTTATTAAAAATAATATATGCTTGTGCCTACATTTTATTCAGCACATAAAAATGTCCCATCTGTCATGTCCCGTCTGTCACAACATTAATACACTGCAAAAACTGTAGGGTTAATTTAACACCATTTGGTATCTATATAGGACAACACCAGTAAAATTTAACACCAGATCATAGATACCAATGGTGTAAATTTAACACTGCAGTTTTTGCAGTGTAATTTTCCAATGAAAGTCGTTTTCAAAATAAGGAGTGTAATTCGTGTCATTTGTGTAATCCGTTCAAACAATATCACCATTTAAACACAATGACCATAAAACCTCTTTTATCCAAAAATAGGATTTCAAGAATCTTGTCACAACTGTCTTCAAATATCATCCCTAGCGATAAAACCTCAGATTACGTTAAACATATTTAACAAAGTCCCTTTGAAGGCCCGTCTTTACATAAAAGTCGATTGTATAAATTATATTGTTTACTTAAGCAGGACTGAAAGCAAAGATATTGTGTACTACAGTACACTGTTGAAACAAGTATTCTGTGTCATTTTCTTTGTTTTTCCAAACAGTCAGAACACACAACGACATGCTTTTTTTGGGACGAAACAGATTTTATTGCGTTGAAATGGTGATATTCTTTGAAGTAGGGATTGAGCCAGATCAGTAATGTTTTTCATCTAAAATTCTGAAATCGGCTTTTTAGTCAATGTTGTTTTAGGTGCTACATATTTATTTTAATATGAAATATATATATATATATATATATTTTTTTTTTGGGGGGGGGGTTGGGTTCCGCTTTTTTTACTCACGATGTTTGAAGTAATTAGAGATTACAAAGGTTGAGTGGGATTCCAAAATATTAAATTCCCCTTGTCACCATTTCCATCCTCTTAAAACAGGAAGGATTCTCAATTCCTACTCGCGTGTCCATAAAAAAAAGAACTCACCAACGTGTAAGATGGCATCGTATTCTCCTCCCTGCGCGGCTACTTGCAAGCGACCCAATGACTGAGCATTCTTGTTGCCCATGTCACCGTACAGGGCGAGGCGAGGGGTCCAGTCAGTCCCGTCCTGGAGCGCACTGAAGAAAAATAGCGGACTCCAGCCTTCGTCACTCCCACAACGATAGACTTCATGGAGGGACAAATAAAAATCGTTTTTTTTTGTCAAACTGGGCACATTTCCGTGATTACATTTTTTGGACAGGGGACTGGAAGTAGGGCATTTGGGGCTGTGGCTTAGAACACTGTGACTGAGTCTTGGAAGAAATGAGCAGAGAGAATCACTAACGATCGACGAAATATTAAAATTACTTTTTAAAATGCACCTTTTTCAAAACTTGACCTCAATAATAGTATAAGTGCATGGTTGAAGTGGGGGGGGGGGGGGGGGGGGGAGGGGGAGGGGGCACAAAGACAGCATATATTAGCACGAGGCCTCAGCTTAATCTGTTAGCTTCTGAATCAGTGAGAAGAAAATTCCCACAAAAGTGGACAAGTCTGCAAAGTGGAAACTGTAAGAAATCTTCCAAACTAAATGCATCACATCAACTGTGGTGTCAAATTCAAGGGGACAAGATCTTGTATTTGAGAGGTGTGCAAAAGAGATGGAATGTAGTTAAGTGTGATTTGGAATCAAAACCCTGTTTTTGGGGGCTAACATTTTTGGTAGTCATTTTGGCAAATTGTAAGCGAGTGTTATGGAGAGTTTTTGTGTTTAAGACAGAGAGAAAGGTTCATAATATAAGAAGAGTTTCATCATGTTGCAGTTCATCATAGTCAGATTTCATGCCGTGTAAAAATGAAGAGGAAGTAACGTGAGTGACGTAACGTGAGTGACGTAACGTGAGTGATGGTACCTCTCTGTTTGTCTCTTGCAATTGATTTGATGAAAAATCGGTTTTCATATCTAGCTATGGGTTTAATGAAAGGTAAAACAATGTTACTTCTGTGTTGCAGACTACAGTTTGAGGTAGTCCGAGTAACTGGGACTCTACGAATCACCTTTTTAAACATTTGGACATGGTCGGGCGCCGTCCTAGGTACACAGCATTATTACGCAACTAATAACTTTTTTGACCTTTTTCACTTGTACCCCCAATCAAAATCTTCAGATTTCACCCCCTAAACAGTCTTCAACCTGCCTTATGCGACCCTGTAGGCTTCAATGGGAAGTGAAAATACAAATGAGTGGTGGTTAGGTTTACATACCTTTTGGAAGAAAAGACAACATTTCACCTTCAATTCGGGAAACATCTGTGTTACAAACGTCTTGTCACAAACAGCCTGTCCCTCACACACTTCAACGAAATGTTCTCCTATGAGTAACTTTACTTTGCGACTTAATTACTGTAGAGTTTTTACTCTTACCATACTTTGTACCCGGTGTCACGCCCGTCAGTTTGACTCGATGGATGAACTGTGCACTTTTCAAAGACCCACCGTCGATAAACTTAGTGCTGGATCCTGTGGCGTTCTGATCAGGTTTTGTCATCCCAAACTGGACCATTGACGGAGTGTCTTCAAAAGTACTCCAGGTGACAATCATTTCTGTCACATTGCCTGCAGGGAATACACAGAGGGGTGTATAGGGATTGTCGTGAATTATATTCTTCAAAATGACACACACACACTCTAGGCATGTGATACTGACTTATTCAGGACCGTTCACATATTTTGGAATCCCACTGTAATCTCTGTAGTAATCTCTCATTAGTTTTAGCAAACACTTTTTAATATTATAAGGACAATTTTTTTGTTTATTTATTTTATTCAGAACCACACTTCTTCCATGAAGAGATTTCTTTCCACAAGGTGTTACCCGCAAACATTATAATTTATCTTATCCGCCATGCAAAGCTTCAAGTCTTATATATCGTCGCTCTACGGAGAGCTAAGCACCCATCAACTCAGATCACTGGAACGAGCCTCTATCAAACGTACCAAACTCATCAATAACCTGACTTTCCTTAAGAGATGCAGGGATTTCAGTATCATTCCACTAGGCCTCCGCATCCGGGACCCATCCGCAACGACCGTTCTCAAGACATCGTACACCGGGCCACCACATCGCTACCCCGCGAACGGATAGTTAACACACGGGCCCAACTTGCGCGCTTACACCAACAAGTTTCCCACCTCACCACTGTTTTAAAAGCCAAGACCAGCCCACAAGACTTCACACCAAGATTCAAGACCTCAACCGATCCTCCACCACTCACCACTTCCAGCTGATCAGGAAATTCAACAAACTCCAGTCGACAAGGGTTATTTCCAAAATAGATTTTACGTGCATTTCAACCCTTGCGACTGCACCGAACACCCTCCCACCAGCGCCCCTCACCGACAACCCGGTATTCAACACCAGAAACTTTAAAGCGTGTTGAAGAAACTGGACGAATTTGTTTAATTTTGGCCAAATACAGCTATACTTTTCACTCTTTACTTATTTTCAAAGACATAATTTTATTGGGGCATAAGGCAGTGGTGAATTACGGGGATGTTGGGGTGGTATCTTACGTCTGGCCAGAGTCATTGTGTGCAGATGTAAGGCTGGAAAATTCCAATCGGAGAGATAATCCCAATGTAACCTTAAAAATCGTGAAAAAAAAACACTCGTCATACAACAATCTGTATTCATTGCACGGCAGCCTTTGGTCCCTCTTAGTATTTATTGTCTCTGTGTTGACTTCAGACCCTCCGTCAACCCCCTTTCAAAATCGAGGGGTCCACCATGCACTTGGTGGGCTTTTATACACCATAAATACTGTATCTATCATAAAAAGTGGTGTGAGAATTTGCCGACGTATAGCCTCAAAGGTTCAATAATTCCTACTCATGCATTCCTACGGAAGCTCGTTCATGCCAGGTTTAAAAGTGAAAACTATTTTTATTGCGAAATAACGCTATAGTTTTGCGACATAAAGCCCGGTTCATACTCGGCGCGAAAGCGAACGCGAATTTGTGACGTCATGGCAAGTATTCGCGCTGCAAATTCGCAAAAGTTGAACATATTTCAACTCGGGCGAATTTCGCAGCGAATGGTGCGTGACGTCAAATTCGCTTTGCATTCGCGTGAAGTACGAACCGTACTGAGGTCTATGGGATTCGATTTACAGGTCTGCAACCGTATTCGTATGGCAGATTCCACAAAATATCCGCCGCATCAGAAGTCAAACAACCGTTTTTCTGGGTGTCTTTTCTCAGGAGCAGTGCGACAATAGGTTTGTTTTGGAAAGATTGCATCCTGACGCCACTTTTTTCATCATATCTCAATGAATGTCACTATAGCAGTCATTGCAAAAAAATGTTGAAAAGACGTGAATCTGGGACTGAGAAACATTTCCAATTTTGTCAGAAAATACTTTGAAAAAAAAACCCGACTGTCCACAGACTTTTGTATACACAACCAAAGAAGTGGCGAGCGGTGGTCTGGATACTACATTTTCCCCTTAAGTATTCAACCAGATCCCTTTTAAATAGGATAAGTAAACCATAAGACCAACTTAAAACTTTCGGCGATTTCAGGACGATGCGCACCGTTAAACTTTGAGCCCCGACCTGTATATGCTTAAAGTAAACAATAAAACTGATGCCAAAACTCAAGGCAATTAGAGGGAAGAATGCAGTAGGCTACCATGCAGGAGGGACCGAAGAATACATGTACATTTGTATTTCAAAAGGCCAGAAGCTCCCGTCCCAATACTAAATACCAATTTTCTTATGATATTCTGCGTCCAAACGTTTAAAAAAACGATCTTCTTCCAGAATAATCTAAACCGGGAAATGCTTCACTCAGCGACGGTCGGCGTGACGGTACGACGGTCCTACCTGTGGCAGAAAGATGAACTTGTTCCGGCTGTGGCTTCACCTGACCATCAATCCTCGCAACAAGACAAACACAAACAACTAAAACCTGAAACCCGGAGATTTCCATCATTGCTAACTCTGTTTTTAATTCAAAATAAAGACACTTTTCGAAAACAACTCCCTACAGCAGTGGCACTAAAAATAAACTGGGGGCGTAAACTCCTGTTTTTTTTCCTGTTAAGTCGACCACACAGAGGCAAATCACGTGCTTTATTGTGCGCTCACGTGATCTAGTCTGCATTTTGTGCTTGTTTACAACTCCAGCTTATCACCAGCTTGGGACTTTGAACCACGTATACTGCTCCTTTTCTGGAGTTTTATCATTCATTCCATCATTGTTGTCTTAATAAAATGACTGGTGTGCACAAAGTCGAAGGGGGTTTTGTTCCTTTTGATCATCATATACCACGCGTGGACGGGTTTTGCCCAATATCAGGGAAAATATTTAAAAAAATATGTGAATATAAAATATTATATTTTGAATTGTATGAATAATAATGAAGTACAAGTCGAAGAGAGTATGCGTTCCTTTCCTGGTGCCAGGCATGCGGATCACGCAATGCATTCAAAGAATAGTAGGCCTAATTCAAATGAGGTTGGATGGGTCTTATAAACCCATTCAGGGGTGGAAGAAATTAGCATCTTTTAACCCCTTTTTATAGGGCGGGTGTAAATGACATAGAATTCTGAGTTAACTAGCGCATATGATGTTGGTGGGAACCCCTCTTCGACTTGTACTTCATTATTATTCATAGAATTCAAATTAGCTTAATATTTCATATTCACATAATTTTTGTATTTTATTACATATCACTTCGTACAAGTCTTCAGAGGGTATGCATCTTCAAAGCTCAACCAAAAGAAAAGTGAGTTCAAAACCAGAAACATAATGTCATGAATCCAAACGATTCGTTCATTTTCAGATTACTTTTCATTCACATAAATGAACCATTATTTCTGATAATGTAAATTAACTTATATTACTCATTGATATATGATATTTGACCCGTGGAGGGTACGTGACCACTACCTGAATCCTGCTGCAGTGACTGTCAATATGTTAATGCTTGGCGAGTGATGACATCCTGGAGCAGTACGGAGGATTTCAAGCATAATCCAGGTTATCCAGGTCTATATTTATGCACGGCTGAACAAAAACAACGCAAGGTCAGGCCCAAGACCTTGACAAAGTGCATTCTACGAAACGCACTTTTGCCATGTAACCTCAATCCTCCAAATTCCTCAATTTTGGCAAAGAGGTTTTTGAAGGATTCACTGAAAAATTGCCTGTGTTAAGTTTATCCAAGAAAGGGTAAAAACTGCAACTACCCAAAATTGGGTCGTTCTATAACCAACTTGTTTGGGTTAGAATTTCTGTTAAATTCAATCAAAAGTTGTAGTCATACAAGACCAAATTTAACTTGGTTTTATGAAATATGTTTGATACTTATTTCCCATACAAGTTTTTAGAAGATCTAGTTGTTCAGATAAAATTCATAGTCTCGTCTATTTGATAAATGCCATTACTTTATCAGTGGGGAAAAGCGAAATATCTGAAAAACTGAGAATATCTTTTTGTTAAAAACAACTTTAAAACTAACAGAATTTATCAAAATGGTTCTGGTACATTTGTTACATATATATTAATGATTGTTAAAAGAACAAAGGATCGTTTCCTTTTAGTACAACTGTTTTGCTTGAAACAACAAATTCGCTAAAAATCTTTAAAAACTGTTGAACATTCAGCTCATTGAGCACTAACTGAGAAAACAGAATACGCGTGCACAGTACATTATGTATTTTGGTTTTCGAAACAGGATTCCGTTGCTTACACAGCGTGCCTGTGGGCACCTTATTTTGAAACCACCTTCAATGTTAGTTTTCTTCCTAACGATACCATTTCAGGTGGAACAATTTCACAGGTGTTTGATACCAGTTCTGTCTTCAATTGAGCAAGGTTTCTGTCATGAAATTTAAAGGTACTTTTCTGGGTGCAGCTTGCAATTACAAATGATCCCCCGTAGTTCAAGTTGTAAAACTTGTTAACCACACAGTCGAGAGGAACCAAGTTTCATATCTGTGGTGCATAGAATTCAAGCATTTAGATTTAATTTTTTTATGCAATATAAATCATTTTTCAGCTTAGCCAGATGTGCACGAAACTCTAAACTGTAGAAATGTTTGTAGATTGAAAAGTGAAGTTTAAAAGTAACCAATATATAAACATATATATTTCAAATAATTCGTTGGTGTGATCTTTTCAAAAACAAATCTTGTATAACTATTTGCATAGAATAAAACATTTATTTAATACATTGGCAATTCCTGAGTGCATTGTAACTAGAAAAAACAATTGTAAAATATTTTTACAAATTTTAATACGTCAACATTTACTTTCTTGACATGTTGATAAATGCAAACTTTAAACAGCCATAACTTGTCAATGGAGTGTCTGATTGAGGTGCGACAAGCAATATTATAACAATAAAAAAGCTGACGTTCGCAGCGAAACAAACCCCAATAGTAAAATTTTTCCCGTTTCCTTAATTACAGCTGCTCAGTCGTGATCGTCCTCTGCCAAGATTACAGCCAGGCTTCTGGTCCATGTTTGTCTTTGATAAGCATCACTTTGTCGATCACTTCCCCGTGCTGCATGTTCCAAAAAGAAAGAAAGAAAAAAAGTGACAATGTAGGCAGGTTTACTTACAAGTAACTTTTAAAAATCTTGTGACCCTGGTTAGAATCCCACCAGGAGCACAAAAATGGAATTGGTGTCATTAATGCGTGGTCTCCTCTGACAGTACAAATAATAACTAGATCTTTGTCTGTTCGAGGAACAGAACATAGAGATTTTCCGCATTGTTTGTTTGATGAGTTTATGCTTTTTTTGTTTTGAACACAGTTCCATGATTTATTGAGCTGTTCTTGTAGTTCTTCAGATATAGGACTTTAAAATACGTCCCTTGAAGATGTCGTATCGGGACCCATAATGACCCAATCATGACGTCACCAACATGTCCCTTTCTATGTACATACCAAATTAACGAAAACCTTTTTTTTGTTTTCGTGATTGGCTGGTTCTTTCTAACGTCCTATGGGAATTGTATTGCATCGCCTATTTTCTGACATTGACCATAATGTCGGTTTTGAATAGTGCCCCAATGGGAAGATGGTGTCCAGCCCCTTCCCAACCAGAACCGGCGCCAGAAATTCTGGAACCGCCCAACACTAATGAGAACCCTGGCTACGCGCTGCTACATCCAAGTAAGCTATTTGATAATATAGGTTTTCCCGACCAATTTCCTGAACTGTTCGTTCACTTCTAAAAATGGGTCATTCGTTTTCGTCTGAATATGAATGCACGTCTTTAATCCCATTTCAATTCAACGGAAGTCCAATCATGTCATTGTCCGTGCATTCGGTTTTCGGAAACAGACGGCCAATTACGTTACCTGTGCATTCATTTACGCAAGCATAGGCCTACCTTTGCGCGCAGAGTTCTGGAATACAATTTCGTGAATGTGCAATCAAAGTACGTTTTTCTTATTCAAATAGCAGATTACATCACAAAATATTAACTTAAAGTGAAAACAGAACAGTCAATATTTGAAATCGACCTCTAAAAGTGAAAAAGATGTCTTTCAACGAATCTGAATGAACATAAACGAAAGGTGCTGCTCAGTCACTTAATTGATTGAACTGAAATGGAATCGAATGCTCTGGTATATAGCAAAAATGAAATGCGTGTTCAGAGCGATTCTCAAATTCAGAGGAAAATGAATGACCGATTTTCAGAAGTGAATGAACATTTTAGGAAATTGGCCGGGAAAACCTATACTTTGGTACATGTAGATTAATTTTCTGGGATAAATACAAATGATCCTATATGCCTGTAATACCGATCCATATGTTCTGCTTCCAAGAAAATAAATCCTACAAAACAAAGCCAAAGCAAAAACAAGAAGCCAAAGATTAGAGTATGTCCAGTTATTATGAAGAAGAAGGATTCAACATAAAGAAACAGCTAGGGAGATGAAAGTAGGTTTGAAAACCCTAAGAACTGAAAGGGAAAACATTGCCCAGTCTACCTTATCATCGGAGATTTGCTGCCAAGCTAGGTGAGTCTTGTTGATCACCTGCATCAATGTGAATCCGTAGTCATTGGCGCGGAAAGCGTCCCACGGCCTGGGCAAAAAGAAGATACCATGACGCTCTTGGCATCCCTGTAATTTAAGAAAAGAAAAAAACACATCAACAATTAATGGTTTCATGATCAATGCCTAATCTACACTTAAAAGGATTCCTAAAAAATAAGCCAATGCTCAGACAAGATGTCATTCACTCAAGTTTAATTCAGGTTATACATAATATATACATATTTCATTGTTAAATTTTTGTAGCACATTAAAGTCTTAAATATTGTTTGGAAAAAAAGCAAGAAATAATATATCAGGTATAAAATTTGGTGCACATTTTGCGTGTAAAACTGGGAAAGGTATTTCTCATTACTTGCCAGGAAAGAACACAAATCTACCACTTCATCAACCAGAACAGTTCCCTCAAACCCTGCCCCCTCCCCAACAGACCCCTCCCCCAATAAAATATCACTTACCGCCGAGCCAGTGATGATGTGCACAGGCGCCTTTGGATTTGTGTATGGTGCATCTTTACTGCCATTGTAAACCTAACAAAAGTAACAGGAATATTAAATACACGTGCCTCTCCTATCATTTTGATTATATACTTAAAAGTTTGACACAAAATCCCAGTAACTATTGGAGCTTATCACACGATATTTGCTGTATGTTGGCCATAAAGTCGTCACCGTTTTCATGAAGAGACACACATGTCAAAAGTGATTACTTTTTCGATTTCGATTTTTTCTCTCACTATTTCGTTTTAACACATCGTACTTTACCATTTTTACATGCTTCTGTAAGCAAAACATCATTAATTTCTTAATTACAATTAATAATGCAAGGGGCAGGCATCTCAATTCGTGCATTTTGCGTTTCCACGAAGAGACACGAACATAGCCGCCCCTTGAACACGTACAAAACGTATTGGACGAAAAGGCGTAAAATAGGTCAAGTGAGATTTTCGTTTTCACGAAGAGCCACACATATTTATTACATTCTCAGCTGCGCGCGTGTAACACGCGCGCTCCTTCCCTATGGAAAAACACATTGAACAGAAAGGGCCTAAATTACGAAAACATGGATTTTCGTTTTCACGAAGGGACTCACATCTTTACTAATTAATTTTGGCTAATTAACCATTGTGCTGATTCTAATTACTGGGTTTACATAGTTTACCTTTCAAAGAATCATGTGAATGTTTTCTTAATGCATAGAGGTGTTGCAAAGTAGTGGTTTTTGTAGTTTATAAATAGGAGGAACTTTTCTTCCGATTATCTCGAAAACGTTTTTTCTTCAAAATCTACATGAGGCTCTTCGTGAAAACGGTGCCGATTGGTTTGATTACTCAATCTCCAATCTGATATCCTGCAGCACAATACTGGTAGCTAGATTACCCCTTCAAACGTTGTGGAACAACTCAATGGAATTGAAATGCCTTTTTGGCAACTCAATAAACCTTCTCTACCTTTTCTTGATAGACTGGCCACAGTCTTTCATAGTTGTGCTCGTGGGCCCAGATCTCCATATCAACACCTGTTACAAAATAAACAGGAACACTCATTCAATAATTAATGGCAAATTTTCCGATACAGTTAACCACCACAAGTTTTGCTCAAGTTTTAAAAATTCTGTTCAGTTTTAGCCAATAATTAATTGCAATGAAAAGTATTGGGGGTGAGTACTAGCGAAATCTTGCATTTAAAGAAATGGATTTATACTTTACCGATGTATTTCTTTTGAAACTCTGGAAATCAAACAAAGACCAGAATATTCAAATTTTAATTCTACGTTGAGTTACTTACCGTTCTTATAGAATAAATCCTCCAAAGCTGCTCGCACCTATAGACAAAAAGAAAATACCGCTCAATTTTACTGAGAAACAAGAGTCAAGAATACCAGTCTGTACACTGCCAAAATACAAACCTATGTTTAAAGAATCCAGACAGTTAGGGCATATTAATTGTTTTCAAAAACAAGTGTTTCTCTTCAACTTTGAATTAGGATAAAAACTCGAGTCTTGCCCTTTGAATTTGTTTTTGTATTTCTAGGTTGAATCATCATGGCCCGAGGCGTTGAGATTTAGACCCAGATTAGGGTCTAGTATTCCAAGCTGGAAACAAGACCAAAACCAAACAAATCCAACCTCAAGACTGGTCTTAAGACTAAGAAGGATCTCATGTAATCACATCAGTACTCAAAAGTCCACAACAAGTCAATCACAAGTAAGTTCAGGATCGAGTAGGATGTGCATCGGAACCAGATATTCGCCATCCCATCAAGATACAGAAGTTTCTATGGAAAGCCATATCCCAAGTGTACTACTTACAAGGCTACCCCGTCTAGTACAGTCATCCCCATCGAGGTCCGAGCAATACATAGGCCGGTGTCCAAGGGTTATGATCCACGGGTGTTCTGTTCTGTTCTTCGGATCATTGGCTTCCTATACCAAAAACATCACACAGATAATCACTGCACAAACATACGAAAGACCCGTTTATCTATTTGAGTAGTATTTACAGTGGCTCAGACTGAGACTCACGTCCTGAGTTACTCAGATCTCAATCGCAATTCCATTTTTCAAAATCAGTTTTGCCTAAGCATAGGCCAATGCCTGCAGGGACCTGAACAAGATAAAAATGTACAGTTATCGTAAGGTGGAATTTTGCGTCGGGGTAATGTAAATCAAATTAGGTTTTGCCTTTCATCACCGACATATAAACACTGTTTACTCAGTGTGTTACCTCACGAGGGGAAGTTGAAAAAAAATCACTTGGGTGGGACTCGAACCCACGACCTTCTGCTTTCTAGTATATTCCATGTATCTACTTTTATCGGGTTTACATTTTGCAAGCAAATTTGTTTTCACTAGTTGTGTTTTCGTCAGGCAAGTTTTTTTGCAACTCAAGTGTAACTTGTAGCTACATGTATAACCACCCCAACCCAATCAATGGCCCAGACCCGTGTGACAGTTTGCAGTGTCCATGTACCTTGAGATCTTCTTCAAGCCACTTCAACTGGTTGACTTTTGTCTGCTTTGAATCCTCTTTGAAGAAATACACCTCCGTAGAAAATATCACGAAATGAACAGGTCCAATATTCCAGCTGGAAGACAGCAGAAAGGATATATGCACAAATAATTAATTAATTATAATCTTATACTATCGGTCTTCCCCCTAAAAAGTCCTTCAGTGAGGAGGGTTGTACCAGAACTTGGCACATCAACATAATACTTATAGCTTTCAGAAAGTGCCACAAAGTATTGTAAACCCCAAACCAAGTTTTCATATTTGTTGACCGTATTCTACAACTTGGTTTTACGATAACATTCTCTCGTTTTTGCTGGTGATCAAACTTTGGAGTTGTTTCACACTGAAGAAAGGATGGTAAGGAAGATGTACAAATTTATAACGTGAGGAAGCTGTACTGTTGATAAAACAAACTTAAGGCTAGTTTGATTTTCTGCCATCAAAGTTAGTCATTCAGTTGTTTCTCGTAGTTGTTACTTTAGCATAAAGACACTTGCTGTTAACAGTGGAAAAATATTTTCGAATATATGATGTCAAACGTGCCGATGAGACTTTTCCGGATCGGTTTAACCACTTACGGATCGCACGTCGGGTCAAAAACTGCTTCTTGCATAAAAAAAATAACCACGTGAGAAAATCAATTTTGCAGCCAGAACTATCCCAAAGCAAGCAGATTTTTGACAAGCCGTCCAAACATGTCAAAGTGCGAGTCGGAAATCTGGTATAAAAATTCCTTTCCTAGAAATTGAATCGAAAACATATTTGTACATCAAAAAGCTTACATTATCCTTTTCAAAACGCACCTCGTCAGGAAAAATGGTATTGGAGATCAATCCAAAAGAGGAAGGTTTTCATTTGAAGTATTCCGGGATTAGGAAAAATCTGAGACTAGGAAAATGACTGTCATTCAAGTTTGTGATAAAATCATCAGTAACCGTATAGGCTGTTTTGTGGCGATCGCAAATTTAAGGCCTGTATAAGTGTATACGGCTATTGGCCTATATATTATATGTATATAGACCTTAACAACGCAATGGACACAAGACAGACTGAAAACTCAGGCAGGAAAGGCAGCTATATATAGTGAGGCTTACCTATACCACAGATTCTGGTTGCTGTCATAGGATGGCATCGTGAACCGATTCTTGTAGTGGGAAAAATTACTGTTAGATGAAGAAAGGAAAAATTAGTGTACTATGCTTTAAATTTTTAAACTACTTAATCAATATTCCAATCAATTTCCCACAATTTACAAAACCTGCTTAAAAAAATTCAAGGAGTAGTTTTTAAGAGATGGGATATGTTCATGCATGTGTCGGAGGAAGCACACGACCATTTTCATTTGGTTCAAGGTTCAAGGTTCAAGTTTCATTTATTTTAATTCGAATATGCGCAAACCCCTAGCATTTTCTTTAAGGAATACACCCAACTCGGCACACCTGGGTGTCAATTAGAAAGCAAGTCTGGGTAAGGACCACTAGTTCAAGTTGACTGGTGGTTGATTTGTGACGTAACTTACACCTGCGCACTAATGTAATACCAACGCGCAAACACCTCGAGTCAAATGGTCAAAGTATCATCACACTCATCTGGGTCCAAAACGAGTTTGACAGAAAATTTGACAGAATGGATTTTTTGGCAGATTTCAGGCAGAATTCTGCAAAAATGGTTATTTGACAGAAAAACAGCACATTTGAACCAAAAAAGTGTACATTTGTTTAAAAAAGCTTCAATCCTTTCAAACAACCCTTGCATATGGACAGGTTGCCTGGTCAAGCTAGGTGCTGAGGTTCACTGGGAAACTGACTTCGTCATGGCCGGCGCGGATCTGCGTTTTGCCCGAACTGAATTTACCAATAATTTCACAACATCTTTATGTGACTAGATTGTTTATTATGTAATTTGAATCTTAATTAAGGTAATACTACCAATCTGCATGTGATTTTAAGTGTTTATAGTGTATTTCAAGTAATTCTGGGGAATTTGGCAGATTTTTGATAAATGTGACATATTTTTGATGTGCATTTAGCAGAATTTGGCTCTGACCTTACAGTCACCCTGTAGTCCATTCATCTTTCGTTCGAGTGAGGTTAGTCCAACTATGGTTAACTATAATTAAATTTTCCAGAGCTCAGGCATCTAATCTCTCCTTCTGTACATAAACTAATTATCAGGGGTATAGGAGGTCCATCAGTTGCACTTACTATGCATTTTCATGGTTTCCAACTGCCGTCATGTATGGCACGTAGGCTGCGACAGACTCAATTTGGCGCATAAACTCATCCCCAACCATACCGTTGTCATTGTCAAAGTTATAGGCAAAGTCCCCTGAAAAGCAAAGAGTATCTCAAAGATGTCATTTTCAAGTTTCACCTCGAATTTTTAATTTTTTAGTTTCTATTTTTTTCTGTCTAGCAATATAAAAGTTATTGACTTTTGCATGAGACATGGATGAAACATTCAACAGTTAAAAACTGAATTATTTGACGACTGAGCCGCCGACAATAATTAAGTTTTTGCAGGTTCCTGCCCTTATCATAACATGAGTAATGAACGCTGTGCGCCACTGAAAGATAAAAAATATCGACCCAATTTTAGTATTGACTATGGAGTAATTAATGTACAAAGATAGGGTGGGCAAGTTCCCGCCATTTTGTCAGGATTGATAATATAGGGACTGAGTACCAGTCTATACTCACAAGGTGAATCAGGTCAGGCTCAAAAGCAACCCATAATAAAAAGTTTTTTTCAGGTGGGTGAAAATACACAAAATAGAAAAAAGTAGTTTGTTTCATTAAATAAAAAACATGAAAACTGAAACTTTGACAAGAGAAAAAACTGAATTAGTCAAAGAACACGGGAAGTGCCTCTTTAAGGTCTGGTGAGTCAAAAAAAGTGGAACCCAAATCCCTAAAATTATCTTTCATATTGAAAACAATATGTAGCACCAAAACAAATAATGACTGGAAAGCCAATTTCATAAGCTTCTTTTAGATGAAAAAATACTGAAATTGCTCAATTTATTCAAAGAATATCATCATTTAAACACAATGACCCCAAACCTAGCTCCCGGTTTCGTCCAAATTGCGATTTCAAGAATCGTCGTTTCACTTGTCATCATTCCATCCTGTTATGAGAGGAAGGATCCCATTCATGGGTGTGTCCATAAAATGAAACTCACCGACGTGTAAGATGGCATCGTATTCTCCTCCCTGCGCGGCTACTTGCAAGCGACCCAATGACTGAGCATTCACGTTGCCCATGTCACCGTACAGGGCGAGGCGAGGGGTCCAGTCAGTCCTGTTCTGAAGGGCACTGAAGAAAAATAGTGGACTCCAGCCTTCGTCGCTCCCACAACGATAGACTTCAATAAAAAACAACAACAAAGTTCATTTTCAAGTTTTTGACAATTGTCAAACCGGGCAAAATTCATTCTGATTATATTTGTGTGGACAGGGGACTGGAAGTTGGGATTCTGGGCTGCACTGGCTCAGAACACTGTGACTGAGACTTGTCAGAAAAAAATGGGGCAGGGGAAATCACTTAATATAATGATCGACATTGATTTACTTTTTGCTGATGTACTTTTTGCTGATGCCGGGGGGGGGGGCCACAAAGACATTATATATACCACGAGGCCTCAGCTTAATCTCTTAGCTTCTGAATCAATAAGAAGAAATTTCACGCAAAAGTGGACAAGGCTGGAAACTGTATGAAATCTTCCAAACTACAAGCATCACATCAACTGTGGTGTCAAATTAAAGGGGACAACAAGATCTTTCATTTGAGAGGTGTGCAAATGAGATGGAATGATTTGGGGTCAAAAACCTAGGATTTTGGGGGGCTAAAATCATTGGTTTGTGGTAGTCATTTTGACTCCTTGTAAGCGAGAGATATTGAGAGTTTTGTGTTTAAGACAGAGAGAAAGGTTCATAATATAAGAAGAGTTTCATCATGTTGCAGTTCATCAAAGTCAGATTTCACGCCCTGTAAAAATGAAGAGGAAGTAACGTGAGTGACGTAACGTGAGTGACGTAACGTGAGTGACGGTACCTCTCTGTAGTCTATAATGTCTCTTGCATCTAAAATACACACTGATTTTATTAAAAATGGGTTTTCATATCTAGTTATGGGATGAATGAAAGGTAAAACCAAAAGCGGATCCAATTTTTTTTTTTTTATGTGACATCGCAATAAAGGCAGGCAATGGTGTAAACCACTATCTTTTCCTCCAAAAAACATTGGTTAAAGTGGTCAGAAATGGCCTCAGATCGCACCACAGAGCATCTAGAATCCAAAAAAATTTCGGAGCCCTTAAGCGGGCCCCGAACCCCACGCCATAATTTTTTTGACCCACTTTTTGGGGGGACCAAATTTTTTTTTGGCCCCCCCCCAAAAAAAATTGTGTTCTGGATCCGCCCTTGGGTAAAACAATGTTACTTCTGTGTTGCAGACTAAAGTTTGAGGAGACTTTAACCAGGCACAATTTCCATGACCTTTTTTGTAAGGTGAGTGACGACCAACAAAACACAGGGGTTCAAAAAGTGAATGAATGGGTTGAATGTTTTTTTTTCCATTTTTAGAGTACACCTGACCCCAAGGTTGTTGTATGGCTGGTTTGATTCAGTTTGATCAAATATAAAGCACTGAGTGGTCAAAGTAACGTCATGGCATATAAGTGTAACGTGAGTGAGGGTGAAATTGCCCATCTTGCAAATATTCAAAACTTTGGCCAAATATTAAAGGAAGTAAAGTTCCTGGGCAGATCATGTAGCCAGAATCCACTAAATCAGGGCCTAAAAATGGGGTGTACCCGATGTTCCCCAATAGCTATGTTCCCCAAAATCCATTAGGGTTAGGGTTAGATTAGCCCCACTTGTGTTGCCTCAGTATTGCTGCGCAGAGCAGATATCGCGGCCACACTGTTGGGCTAGGGTTAGATATGGTAGTTAGGGTTGGGGAACATAGATATTAGGGAAAATCTCCTGTAGCTGATGAAGTTGGAGACAAGACACAATTTTGAAATTCCTCATTATTAATTCTGCAATGCGCTGTTCAAATCCCTGCTATAGGTTTGAAAATTATGTGCCCACCAAATGTTCTCTTACCGTACTTTGTACCCGGTGTCAGACCCGTCAGTTTGACTCGATGGATGAGCTGTGCGCGTTTCAAAACCCCACCGTCGACAAACTTAGTGCTGGATCCTGTGGCGTTCTGATCAGGTTTTGTCGTCCCAAACTGGACCATTGACGGAGTGTCTTCAAAAGTACTCCAGGTGACAATCATTTCCGTCACATTGCCTGCAGGGAATTCACAGAGGGGTGTATAGGGATTGTCGTGAATTACATTCTCCAAAATGACACACACACACTCTAGGCATGTTGTATTGACTTATTCAGGACCGTTCGCATATTTCGGAATCTGTAATCTCTGTTATTTCTCATCAGTTCAAATTTATTCTAGAGCTTAAAGATGTACTTCCCATGCTCTTCGACTAAATCAATATTTTCTCTTGTCAAAGTTTCAGTTTTCATGTTTCATTTTTTTAAAGTGAAAAAACAACAACCTGCTTCCTCTACAGGGTGAGTCAAAAAACCGAAACCCATATGTCGGGACCATTGTTTTAGTGAAGTTCTAAATGTAACACTTTCAAAATCAAAAATATGAAAGCCCAATTCATAAGCTTTCTTTTAGGGAAGTAGTACAAGATTCATTCAAATCACTTCTGTACTTTTCAAGTTACGGGCTTTTTAACACAACCACCGTTTGAAAGTTCTGTCCACGGATCACAAAAAGGTAAGTGATCTTTCAGCAAAACGAAAACAAATCTGAAACCTTTAGGGCATTTTTTTTTGTAATTCGAGGGGGCACATTTATGTCCGCAAAAAAAGGGGCACTTGGATAAAGGGGGGGGGGGGGGGGGGGTTTCCGCCGCCCCTGCATGTTTGTATTTTGCACAGCTGTAGCTGACAACCGCCGTGTATGAAGCGACCTCGCACGGCAGCTCGTGCCGACATGACAATCTTTTGCCGTGTTGCCGAACTGGATTTTAGCTTCGCGGGGTTTTGAACAGCGGTGTTTATTTTTTACATTCTTCATTTTTCTCTTCTTCCCTCCTCCTTTCCCCTTTCTTCTCCATTCTTCATTTTCTATTTTGCCGACAGCACCATGATATTGCCGACAAAACTGACTAATGAGGGGGGGGGGGGGTGACACCCCTCACAACCCCCTGTATAGCGACGCCCGTGGTTGTGAAGTCATCCCGCGTCGGCGAAACTTCACTTCGTTATTCATAAATCATGTCTGTTTTTTTTTTTTTTAAATAAACCCGCGCCAGCAATTGCGCAAAGGGGCCGTCCATAAATTACTCACGCACAACATGCCGACTTCTTAGACCTGGTACGCCTCCTCCCCCTGTACGGACGGCATGCGGGGGCCGGGGGGGGGGGGGGGTGCGGGGGGTTGTTCCAACCTCCCTCCCCCTTTACCAGTACGCATACGCATTCCGGTGTGCAAAACTAGTGACATTTAAAACCAACCAGAAAGTGTTGTGGATAGAGAGCAGGCATTTTTATTTATTGTATGGGAAATTTTGGATTATAACGATGACGAATACACACAAATGCAGCACGAAAATAAAGACAGCGATCACCGCATACCGCGCAAAACCGCGTTGGTTCGCATTGCATGAAGTGTAAAATGCGTACGAAAATCGCATTTTCCACAAAGAGATACTGTTCGAATTTCAAACAAAATTGTGTTTAGATTTAAGAGAAGTAAGTGTTAGGTTGCAGAAGTTGTTTTGGAAAGATAGAACATACCTTTTGACTCTATCTATACTTGACCAAAACTAGAGAGGGGCCCGTATCACAATTGCCTCAACTCCAAATGCGTTGGCTGGCGGTGTGTGTTGTTACGACTTTCGATGCATAAAAGTTGGTCTTGGCAGGTATTTAACACGAGAAAGTACATTTGATTTTATGACAAGCAAATTAATTAACGCTCTGCGTACGTACACATTGGCTTGGACCCCCCTCCCCTCCCCCGTGTACGCATAACGTATGCAATCCCCACCCCTTTCGTGCGTACGTACTTTAATGACGGCCTCAAACGAAGATATTGAAAGTTACAAACGCATTTCATGAAAAGGATTATTGTTATCACGTTTATCGTTTTCACGTATAGTTACCACGAAAAGGTGAATACATAGAATAGAATGAAACATAATTATGGTGACTGATGAAGTGCGGAAAAAACCCAGGAAAAAAAATGCTCTGTTGTGCCAACGCTTGTGCGCACCCATTCACGGATTCGCCGAACTACAAACCAACGACTAATACGGACATTTCCTAAAATGCGTCACTTGACGCATCTTTTGAAATGAAATTTCTTTTATTGTCATCTTCAAAATGACAGCATGCCAGAAAGAATAATTTCACAGAGAGTTAAGTGCAAATACTATCCTTAAACCAAGTAAGTTTTCAACACTAATTCCGTCAATTACTTTCTGGACAGCTGAAAATTGTCTACTCTATACCTTTAAAAGTCTAGATCGGGAGCGCGTACATGACGCCCGTTTTGATAGTTGCATGACTCAATGGTCAGATTTTGAACTTGCACCAAAAATTTGATAAAAAAAAAAAATTGTAAAAAGAAAAAAGAAAAAAAAAACACAACAGATTTTTAATGTAAATATACCCAATGACTATTCTGGTAGACATTGGCTATATTTGTTCGTTGTCCCGCCCCCCTTGACCAAGGATCCTGAACACGCCCATTCAGGACCGATTCATCGTTTCCACCTGTGAATAGTTAGACAATGATCTCTCTTCGGCGTCCATTTATTCAGCCTTATGTATCCTGCTTCGGTTTCATTATAAAACAATAGATTAATGTAACCATAATTCCTGTATCGGGCTAGCACGTGGAAATGAAGATTGTATGTCAAGAAATCTGATCTGAAAAATGGTTTCCCTTGGCAGCTGTTTTCTTTATGATTTACATGAAAAACAGTAATGGTTGAAATAGGGTTGTTTATCGTGGACCCTGACCAACAAGCAGGTCAGCCCCACCTATAACAACCGCATTCTCCCCATCACTTTTCTTCAATTTCAACTGATTTTGGTCAGGGTCGATAAACGACCGTATTTCACTGCTTTTTCAAGGAAAAGTAAAAACAAAAAGGAAAACAGCTAGCTGCCGACGGACACACTTTTTAAGATCATTTCTGGACATACAATCCTCATTTGCTTCGAATTTGCACCGCGCTAGCTCGTTACAGGAAGTCTGGTAACATTAAACTATTGTTGTAAAGCTAAGCAGGATACCATAAGCCTGAAGACAGGATGGACGTAAGGTAATCAATAGTAGGAAAGATATAGGGAAATATAGTGGCGGGATTGTTCACTTTGATGATAAAAGCATGGAATCTGGCACAGCAGAGTATGTCTGAAAAAAGAAATTTGGCTATGGGCCATCGCAGATTTGACCTTTGAACAAATAAGCCCCTATAGGTAGAATAATAAGTAATTTAAAAAAAAAATTCAAAATGGCTGCCATCGTTTGTTATTTTAGGCTATATTTTTTCAAAGTTCAAATCTTGGATGCCCGATAGCCAAATATCTGTATCATGACATACTCTGACTTGTGTGCCAAATTCCATGCTTTTATCATCAAATGAACAAGCCCATCACCTATCAGCTGCCGTACTATAATCCAGTTTGTGCTAGATTAACAGATTGACTTTCATCACATAATGGATTGACGAGATTGATAACATCACATAATGGATTGACGATATAACATGATGATAGATTGACAGCATCGTGTAATGTATTTACAACATCATATGGGGTCTACCCGATGTTCCCCAATACCTATGTTCCCCAATACCGATGTTCACCGAAATCCTTAGGATTAGATTAGGGTTAGGGTTAGGGTTATAGGGTAAGGATTTCGGATAACATCGGTATTGGGGAACATCGGTATTGAGGAACATAGGTATCCGGGAACATATATGCACCCCATCACATAATGGATTGACGACATCACTAAATGGACATCACAATTGACAACATCATCAAACAACGTTTATTCAGTAACATAATAAATTGATATGTTTGGCGTTCCATAACTATAGTTGGGTAAATCTCCCGTCCCGGCGCGCGAGGGATTGATGGTAACTTTAAAAGACCCTGCCGGCACAACAGAAATTATAAGAAGCTCCCATCCCCAATACTAAATACTCAGTTTCTTCTGATATTCTGCGCTTACGAAACGTTTAAAAACCGATCTTCTTGCAGGATAATCTAAAACGTTTTGGGAAATGTTTCACTCAGCGGCGGTCGACGTGACGGTACGACGGTCCTACCTGTGGCAGAAAGATGAACTTGTTCCGGTTGTGGCTTCACCTGACCATTAATCCTCGCAACAAGACAAACCCAAACAACCAAAACCTGAAACCCGGAGATTTCCATCATTGCTGACTCTGTTTTGAATGCAAATTGAGACACTTCTCGAAAACAACTCCCTAGCGGTGCCACTAAAACAAAACTGGGGGCGTAAATTCCTGTTTGTTTAAATTTAGACCACACTGGCAAATCACGTGCATTGTTCGCTCACGTGGTCCGCATTTGTATTTGTTTACAACTTCAGCTTATCACTAGCTCTCGGGACTTTGAACCACGCATGAAATATCAAATATATTTTGAACTGTATAAATAATAATGAAGTACAAGTCGAAGAGGGTATACTTCCTTTCCAGGTGCCAGGCACGTGGATCACACAATACATTCAAAGAATCTATAGTAATTCAAATGAGGTATATAGGATGGGTATATCATGGAGCCCCGCCTGGAAGGAGTTGGCATCTTTTAAAAGTGCAGATTAAAAGAACGAACCCCTTTTTTATAGGGCGGGTGTCAATGACATAACACTCTGAGTTAACTAGCGCACATATGTTGGGTGGGAATTCGACTTGTATTCCATTATTATTCATAGAATGCACATTGTATTTCATATTCCATATGCACATAATTTTTTAATTCTATTTCATATCACTTCATACAAGTCTTCACAGGGTATGCATGTTCAAAGCTCAACCAAAAAAAGGTGAGTTGAATACCCGAAACATAATGTCATGAATCCAAACGATTCTTTCATTTTCAGACTGTTCATTTGGCGCAATACAAGCAGGCAGATTACAAAATAACTGTCCCAATACTCGTGCGTGACAAGGACATTTTGAAACGACTCTTTAGTCTAGTTTGCACTAAGAACTGAAGCTGCAAAGGTCGATTGTTCTGTTTGTTTGTTGTAGAACCTTGCAAAGGTGCTGGTATAGCCTAGTCTGCAGTAGGCCCTATATGAAGTTGAAATATATCTTTGTATGAAGTGATAACACCCTCAGCAAGAGCAGTTGAAGATGATGCACTTCGAAAACTGTGTCTATCCCTGCTGCTCGGAGCCTTTTTTCATCTCGCCCTACCAGTTGTCACACCTTTATGTTTTCTAGTGGAAATAAATAGTTCGCCGACAGAATATGTCATAGGCTTTCTGTTCTTTCAACGTAATCTTTCAAGGCTGGAGGGGAAAAAACCCGCATAACTTATCGTTCCGTATTAATTCATTATTGGAGATACCTCTCGTTCACAACTTGGCCTGACTTTGTCGCATCACACAACTCAGTAATATCGGAGAACAAGCCTTTGATACCATGTTTCTTGATTTTCTGTACTATGAACTATCACGTCCTTGGGTCTAGCTGAGGTGGTGATGGTTCCCAAAAGTTCTATTCTGGGTCCAGACACGGCTTACGCATTTGACGTTGTAACATATTTTTATGCAATTTTTGCATATAATACGTCTACGTCTCTTTGATGATTGGCAAAGTTACCGCTTTTACAGCCACATTGTAAATGTCTTCACTTGCAAGAACGTCAAATTCAGATTGAGCTGGGTCGTAGGCTATGGAAAAATAGCATCTTGCCTCAATCCTGCAAATTCCTCCATTATTTTTTGAATATGGTCCGTGGAGGGTACGTGACCACGGCCTGAATCCTGTGGTAGTGCCTGTCAATATGTTGAGGCTTGGCCAGTGACATCCTGGATAGGAGCAGTACGGAGGATTTCAAGCATAATACAGGCCTATTATGTATGCATGGCTGAGCAAAAACAACACAAGGTCCGGCCCAAGACCTTGACAAAGTGCAGGCCAACGAAATCAGTAACGCACTTTTGCCATGTAACCTCAATCCTCAAATTCCTTCATTTTGGCAAAAAAGGATTTTGAAGGATTTAGGGCGGTTAGGGTTAATACACTCAAAACAAGAGAAAGAAATTCCCCTCTTAATCAAAAACTACTGGGCACAGCTTGCTCAAACTTACAACTGATCAGTACAGAAATTCCGTGCTTGGCCCAACACAGTGATAATGTGTACACAATTATGCAATTTTTAAATGGTGCCGAAAAAAGTTGCACTTTTGTATACGTGCAAGGTGAGTGTACAAAAGTGCAACTGTTTGCGGTATCATTATAAAATTGCATAAGTTTGTACACACTATCACTGTTTTGGGCCAAATAGAGAGTATGGCTGGATTGCTAAGGAATTTCTGTACTGATTAGTCGTTATTTGAGCTAGAGGTGCTCAGTAGTTTTTGAGTTAGACAAAAAGTATTGGAAGGGGGACTTTCTTTTTTGGTTGAGTGTAGCTCTTCCAATGAGCCCGAGACTTCAAACTGGGTTGGCACCAGCGGAGTTGCTGGGGTCGCCGGCGTGCTTTGCGCGTCCGGAAGTCACGGGAATGAACCAGGCAGAAGCCGATAACAGTGTTCTGGGATACCGTCGGCACCAGTTGTCCCGGCGAAATGGACATTTGTCTTCCTTATAGTATTTTTATATTCAAATATTGTAGTTATTTTAATCTGGGACAGACCAAATCGTTTGCACAATTTTCGTGCTTATGTCAAAATAGATTATTATTAATAAAATTATTATTAAAAAAAAAATTAAAACAAACTAAATGAGTGGGCTAAATGGTGAACTATTTTTCTTTTTAAATCTAAGAAAATTCACCGAGGATAACTCAATCCAGTCAGGTTTCTTGCATGAAATACATGATCAGCCTAAACTGTGTAAAGCACAGTATTTTAATGGACAGAATATTTGAATGTGTTTGTAATTTGCTAACCCCTTCTACGCAAACATACATTGTGCCAAGTTGGCCTTGCAGTCAAAATCAATCAAGTGACTGTTTTCAACAATTAAGAGCTACCAGCCTACATGTACATAAAGCAGGATCGACTGTATCTGTGATTGTCTGACTGTAGGTGACAGTCTAGGATTGCCTGTTTTTGTCTGTTGAATGAATTTGACTAGTCAGAGTGCTTGCTTGCAATATGATCTGACTGTTGGTGACTAGCCTGTGTAAATGGCATGGCAGGGAAGAGGATGGCATTTTTGACTGTCTGCGACTGTTTAAACAATAGGAGGGTTGAAATATATGTAACACTAACTTATGTATTGTTTAATGCTTTATACACAGAGTACCTATTTTATTGCATCTTTGTTATCATAATTGATAACCCCACGTCACTTTTTTTTCCAAAATTTAACCAAAGAAGTACATATATACCGGTACATTCATAATTTGAAAATGTGTCTTACAAGATGTCTTTCTGTTATGAATATATAAGATACCTATTCCCTTATACTTTTTGGTAGATCTAATTATTCAGATAAAATTCATAGTCTCGTCTATTGCTTATATGCAATGTTGTTTTAACATTTATACCCTGTTGTTACTTTATCATTGGAGAAAAGCAAAATATATGACTACCTTAGAATATCTTTTTGTTACAACTTAAAAAAACCCAACTAAGTTTAACAAAATGGGTCTGGTACATTAGTTATTAATGATTGTTAAAAGAACAAAGGATCGTTTGCTTTTTATGCAATATTTTTTTGTTTGGCACAACAAATTCGCTAACAATCTTTAAAACCTGTTGAACATTCAGCTCAATGAGCACTAACTGTTTTGAGAAAACAGAATATGCGTGCACAGTACATCATGTATTTTGGTTTTCGTAACTGAATTTTGTTGCTTACACTCATAAAAAAGCGTGCCTATCGGCGCCTTATTTTGAAACCACCTTCAATGTTAGTTTTCTTCCTAATGATACCATTTCAAGTGGAACAATTTCACAGGTGTTTGATACCAATCGTGTCTTCACTTGAGCAAGGTTTTAGTCATGAAATCGTAAGGTCCTTTTCTGGGTACTTGCAATTACAAATGATCCCCCGTAGTTCAAGTTGTGAAACTTGTTAACCACACATTCGAGAGGAACCAAGTTTTGTATCTAACCACACTTTTAACTGTTTACTGTCATGTTAACGGTGCATAGCATTCAGGCATTTCAATTTACAGCAATTTTTGATGCAATATAACACATTTTTGAGCATGTTCAGATGTGCACGAAACTCTGAACTGCAGGAATTCGTAATATTAGAAAGTGAAGTTTAAAAGAGACCGATATATACATATATATATTTCAAACAATCCTTTTGTATGATATTAAAAAAAAAAAAAATTGTATATTAATTGCACAAAAATAATACATTTATTGAACACACTAGCAATTTCTGTGTGCTTTGTAACAAGAAACAATTGTGATTTTTAAAAACAATTAACAAAGACATGTTTTTGTGATTTATATAGCCTCATAAAATCTTCAGTAAGCACAATCTTTGTTGTAGCACTGTTGTGCAGCTATGGCAAAAAAAAGCACATTCAATTATATATTTAATTAACTTTGTCACTAAAATGTAATTACAAAGGGATTCCTTTGAGCTATTTCATAGAGACTTTGGTATATGTAAGGTGTTCTGGCAAAATGAGGCGGAACTTGACACAGCGCGACGCACAGAGCACGGGTACCGTACACACGCACGCAGCCACGGTCAGCCACTGCCGGCCACGCACCCTTGCAAAATGGCGATAGCGCAGCAGCCAAGTACAAAACATGTTGGTTGTCCCGGGACGTCGGACGGCCAATTTTGCAAGCCCTGAGCCACTTCAGGTAAAGCAGCCATGTACATTATTAGGATTTGGCCTTCAGTTTCGGGCAATATTTAAAGTTCTTTATTTGGCAACTGAAAATGAAATTCGGGCAACCAGATTTCAAGCACTTCTGCCCGAAGGGCAACTACATTTTGAAAAATTCTGCGAGGCCTTCCAATAGTAAAATATTTTCCGTTTCCTTAATTACAGCCGCTCCTTTGTGATTGTCCTCTGCCAAGATTACAACCAGGCTTCTGGTCCATGTTTGTCTTTGATAAGCATCACTTTGTCGATCACTTCCCCGTGCTGCATGATAAAAAACAACAACAAATACAGTAAGAAGCAAGTGAAGATGCAGGTTTACATGATGTACAAAGCAGTACTTAAAAATCTGGTGCCCCTGGTTAGAATCCCACCAGGTTTCAACCAGATAGGACAAGTTGCCACCAGACAGCGACAATTGCCACCCAGAACATAGATCTCTGACGCAACCACATTATACGTGTGACCTCCACACCTTTCGGGCGGGAGACATGATAATGATGATGAT